CCTCCTGTAGTATGCGCACCAAGATGGCGCACAACCTGAACTCAGGTTGTGTACCAGGTTAGGATTCAGGTTATGCGACATCTTGGTGCGCATACTTCAGGAGCACCCAATTATTTTCATTTATTCGGTTCAAATTAATTAAGGGGTTTCAAGGAGCAAGGGGTTATTATTTGCTAAGAGCTAAAAATACTGTATACCCTGTAGAATATTGTTTTAACAAATGCGAATCTTTGCTAATTTGCTTATGGAGTGGAGTCGTTGATGTGATATGCATATACATAATACAGCCAAAATAAACATATGCAACTAACCTTTATGCAAGTCCCCTCAACCAAGTATACATACATGCTCATTCAAGTGCTATACATACACAACCAATCTATTTCATATATATATATGTACGTACTCCGGGTATTTGATTTTCATATATATCATATTTATATTCATAAAAATTACAGCGCAGGCGACGGGTTATTTTGATTTCAATTTAACTGAATTACTCTTGAAATAGTGGTAATATGGGATTTATCCTTTAGTACAAATTTGGTGAGGTTACTTACTTTTTTAAATGAAATATCTTTAGGCCCTCAGTGGGAACAATTGAAAGACTCGTTCATTTCGAATTCAGTAAAAAAAATTCGTTAAATTATGTGTTTTTTTGATTAGGTGAAGAAGCTTCTAGAAGCTGTGTTAAGAGTATAGGATAACTTTTTGTCGGCCATATAACCAACTTTAGAAAGCCGGCTGGATCACGCAAAAAAATTCGTTTTTTTTTCATGTACGCAACGAATTAAAAAAATAGCGACATCCAGAGCTCCGCGGGAAAGGCAAGAAGAAAGAATGCGGCTATCGCTTTGCCGTCCAGTATTAAAGGCAACGGGCAAAACGGCCGAAGATTTTAACGCGGCGACAATTGCAAAAATTTAATATGTATTGTTCCGATGTGACTGCCTTTCTAAACATAAATTCCAACTTTTTGGTTGTAATTTTATGTTTTAACGGGACAAATCTGATGGTTGACAAGGGCCACACTAAAAGGTTTGCCTTGCCGGATTGTGGCCAGCGACCCGCCTGCTGTATACCTCCGGTATAGAAGATGTAAAAGTCAGTCAATTATGATAAAAAATTGTCGTTTTTGAACCTTTGCTTATTTATGCTCATAATACCCACCTTAATATTGGTCTGACATATCCACGACTCTTTGTACGCTTAGACATTTTGCCACGACTTTATGTAAATATTTAAATAGATTACCAATAACCTTATACTCGACTTTGTATTTAAACATTGGAATTTAGCAAATGTATTCTGCATTTTGTCTCTCAAGTAAGAAACAGTTTGCTCATTAATGGTTTGGAGTCAAATAGGATTTTCACAACAACAATGATAAACCTCCTCGTTCTCCAATGCGCATCGGAAGAGATGACCGGTTGACACTTTCTCACGTTTTAGAGCTATACGGACTGTGACGGTTAATTGATTTGATGCTGATTTATAGTGTTGTTTCAAATTATATGTTCAAAAAAGAATTCTGTATTATTGTGGTTTCCAAATATCGATTGAATACCATTTTTGAACATGCTACAAAAGAAAAAAAATGTCAGTTTCGAAGCAAAAGAATTTTGATCTACACAAATACAAAAAAATGATTGCACATTTACGCCCATTAAGTCACCACAACTCCCACATATGCGTAAATGATTTTCAGACAAACATGTAATCTCGATTATATTTATTTCCACAACTTTTACTACACAAAAAATTGATGCTCCTGTAGAACAATTTACAACAATACAATTTTTGGTACAGAATATCTCTTTATAGAATTTATTATGAAGACAAACTGAATATAAAGAAATTAATCGTTGGCATTATTTTATTATTATTGAGAACACTTTGCTAAATTGAGTTTTACATCTGCCCATCCATTTCCAACTTCTACTAATTTGTTATGGATTTTCAGCAATGTTTTTGTTTTTGGGACATGGTCCGGCGTCACGGCATACACTTTTTTCATTCCGAACAAGTACACATCAGAACCATTACCTATGCGTTTTTTTCAACAATCTGAACAATTGGCATACATTTTGATGCATCCATTTCCGATTCAATTTCATGTTCAGTGGCATAGATAGCGTCCTGTAATATAGCATTTTCTATTTTTTTCATACCAATCTCATTTTTAGCGAGAAACGTGGATGGTTCAATTCGAGCAAAAGATACATTGAAATGGCTTTTGTTATGAGAATTTGCATTCTTTTGAAAACTCCATATAACAGAGAAACTGCCGTTTGCCTCACTCTGGTATTGTAATGATTCGCAACTCACTATTGTCTCTTCGCTATGCACAGTTTCATACCAAGTCCCAGTTAGTTCTGAATAATCGATTTCTTTTTCTAGTTTTGAAAGTTCACAGCAGTGGCAGCAGGACAACATCAAATATTTCCCGACATATAAAATGATCACTGCTAGAAACCTCAGCATTGTATCCTCGAGTGTCCTCTCCCTAAAGACTTACTGCTGAAATGATTTCAAGGGTAATATGGCATCTTTTCCTTATTTTAGTTTGATTACGAGTTCAGGGACTGTCTTTGTTAGCCAAGTGAATATCCCCTTGCCCATAGGTTTCAGTCCCGTTACACAACTTGATGTAAATGGCCGAACAAAATTAGTTACCTATATATTGGTACACATACTTTTGGAGCGCCTTACTTTTTAGTATTTTTAACATCACTGCATCATTACTTTACTTGGGAAGAAATCCCAATACCTCGTGTAGAGAAATTGTAGTTTATGTGCAGTGAACGCGCCTAATTGACATTTCGATTTAGTTTTACATAGCCTATATACCGTTGTAATGATTCCTCTCTGATCAGGACAAATAATCTAAGAAAATATCTGCTGTCACAGCAGTATTCATATTCTTATGAATGGAAATACACGAAAATGTGTTCAGCAGCGGTTCCCAAACTATGAGTCGCAAAAGAAGTCTTAGTGGGTCGTAAAAAATGTAGAAAGCTTGCATGCATATTTGCATATTTTTTGCAATCTTGCAAATTTGAATTTTATCTTGTTTGTTTGTTAAAATTTGAGTCGCGACGCTTCATAATTTTGACAAGATGTTGGACTTAGGGTTGCCATACCGTCCGGAAAATTCCGTACATGTCCGGAATTTAGGGTTAAATTTTGCGTCCGGGAAGAATTTTTAAAAATGCTCAAATGTCCGGAACCCAGAATTTTACTGCATCTGTAATCGTGCTGTGCACACTGCGAATACAGATTATTGTTATTCCGTACCGTGCGCATAATTTTTTTACTACGAGGTTGTCTGGAAGTATGATGTAACGAAGCGTTTTCCTTATCAATGATGTTTACCACCTAGAACTTTCTGGAAGTATTTCCTACAATTATTCAATATTTAGACTGGAGAATATTGGTTTGCAATCAAAATTGATCGAGTTTACAAACAAGGCAAACGAGACACAATTGCCACTTATTGTATGTAAAAGACACCTTACTAAAAATGATACTTTTGAAAAAATGTGTGGCATTTACAGAAGACAACTGCAATACTATGTTTGGAGGACTTCGGCGTAATGAACAAGGAAACAATGTGTTTGCAAATTATTAAAGGAAACGTTAAACCCGTCATTGATCGGGGTTGGCTGTTCAGCACACGTTTTAAACAATCGTATCCATCATGGGGGTTAATAAATGAACATCGATAATGGAAATAATATATATCAATATTTTTCTATTTACACAGTTAGAACTGAACAAATACTGTGAGATTGCAAATTGTGAATACAAGAGACTTCTCTCTCATAGCAAGACTCGCTGGCCTTCCTTGTTTCCTGGAATTTCAAGGTTGTTAGAAATGTTTTCACCCCTGAAGTCCTACTTTTTGTCACAAGTACATCCACCAACAGTTATTAAACGGTTCTTATACCTTTGGCATATGCACTCACTAATGTCCGTGTTTCATGGACGTATTCAAGGACGTAATTCCGCATGATAAACTGAAATCTGGTACATGACTTTATGAATACTGTATACTGATTTCTGAATAAAACCATAAGAGACGCCGCGGTTCGTTGAGGTAATAAACGCGACTCTCAGCATGAATATTGTACAACGTTTGAAGCCTTAGCATTTCGGTTCCGAATATACATGGTCTCATGAAAATAGCCAAACATTGTCCGGGATTTTGCATTTTCAAGTATGGTAATCCTAGCTTGGACTCTCATCCCACATGTCCAAAGTTCAGTGTGTCCGGTTGTTATGCAAACTGATTTCTAACATCGAGCCTAAATGTCCACAGTCCAAACAGCACTGTAGATTTTGGACAATGATCAAGTGCCTTCTAAAACCACGATTGGCATTCATTTATGGTATCTCAGTTTGGTAGGTTGACTAACGTTCGTTACGTATTGAAATTTTCAAACGGTGCTGCATTTTCGAAAATAACCGTACTAGCATAAAACATCAAGTTCACTAGACATTGACGAGTCTTTGGAGAATCCCAAAATCAGTCAAGTTATTATTAAAACACCATCGTGCCGCTACTCGTCACCAAGTGGTTTCCACCAGCACAATCTTATTTGTTAATAAGCAGACCAATGCAATAAAACGCATATTGGGAAATAAGAATATGACGACGATAATAGAAGCGAAGCTACCTAGACCAATATTGTTGACGTGAACTATTGGACAGCAACTCCACTACCCAAATTCAACACACAAATTCATTTCGAGCTAATCATTTTAGTAAAAAAGGACATACATAAGAAAAATATATACAGAGAATACAACCAATTAGATAGACATTTAGAGGATTAAGTATCACAATCAGGTGGCGCATTTAGTTTCCGATGAAGTTTCTTTGCCAGAGGCTTATATTCAAGCAGAGTGCCGCAGCATATATACACGGCAGTTGTTTTGCAGGTTTCCTAAACGTAAAATATATTTGTTTAGACATCCATCAAAAAGCAAAAAGACTACAGTAACCAATTAAAAAACCTATAACATGTTCCTACATATGAACACTGATTAATAGAATATACAAAGTTTAGGCAAACAATGAAAAAGTTTATTTATATTATGTAAAAAATGAAATAAACCACATGACGAAGTCAAAAAACGATATTTACAAGATATTACAAAAACTGTTTACAAACTTGACATGGAAAAGAATGTATGTATAATTTATTGTATATACAAAGTATCCACTTTGTGTAGAGCATTTAACAGAGCTAACAGATGATTTGGTCTCATATATTGGAGAGAACCTTGCCTGGTTGTGTGATATGCATCATCCAGAACACCCCATTTGCAGCCACTTGTCGAGCAACTAGAAGAGTTGACGCTTCTGATTGGCGAGATGCACGATCGGCCTTTGAAGTTCGGTCATTGGTGGGGGGTGTTCTTACATTTTAAGGGCAGAGACTTTACACATCAAAACTGTTTTACATTACAGGCACTCAAGTGCCAAATTAGTTAACAGCTCTGCACGCTCAAAGTTGCGTAAACGAAGACAAAAATTATCAACGGGCCAACACAAATCCAACTACGCGGTACTCCATGAAAAGTGCAGAGCATCAGAAGTAACTGATTATTACAGAAAATACTGATAGAAATAAAATCTTGAAAATAGATGCTTATGTGTAACAAAACTTTAGTTGATGAAATTATTGATAATTACAGTAGAAAATAAATGGGACCAGAGAGCCGTAGATGTGGATGATTCCCTCCTGCACATGCACTTGGTGAAAAAGAACATCTCAATTTATATCAAGTTCATCATATAATTTTGACAAGCGACATGCTACAATTTCTGATCTACAAAAACTTAATATTGTTTATCACGGAACCAACTTCCTGACAACTTACACAAGAAAATTAAGAACTTTCAGGTTTCAGCTTAAAACCTGGTAGACTAAGTATAGAATGCTACCTCGCAGATAATGCATTTAAGTCAACTTTTCAAATCTGTTAAAATATTTGCCTTCTAACTCGAATACTGAATTACAACAAATAATATCTTGCAAATGATGATAACTGGCATTGATAAAAATTTAAAAAGACAAAATCAGGGGCGCAGCCAGGCAGTCATTAATTTCATACAGAGCTAGGATATTTCTGTGCAGGGGCTTTTGAAACAATTGCCATGGTCCTGAACACTTGCTACTACAACAAAACTTGTTGGAGTTGTCTTTCCGGCTGATACTGATTTTTTTGTTGATGATATTCAACCCATGACCAGTAATAATCATTCCTAAAATGTCATAACTGCATTTCAACACAAATGTGTGAATACTATAATTTATAATCTTTTTCCAACAACAAATCTCTAAGTAGAAGTAGATGGAGCACATGCTTTACAATAATTATTAGTATTCAATCATGATTCGGAAAAAAATTCATTTAATTTTAATAGGGCTAGTCTTAATAGAGCACTACTGTTGGTAATGAACACAAAGTGTGGGCAGGCAAGCTCGTAACACAAAATTCATAATGCTTTGAATCTGAAACCGCCTGGCTGCGCCACTGGACTCAAGAAAATCCTTCATTTCTCAACTATAGTTCAGATTTGAATGAAAAATGATGACAATTGGAAGCGCAACACAACATTATAAAATGCTATTTTCCAAAATTACATTATGCCACATAGCAATAATAATTGACCACACAAGCATGTTACTGCTGCTACTTTTATTAGTTTTTCGCTTGTTGTCCGGGTCAGTGAAAGAATTGAAAATTGAAAGAACAGTAGTCTCACAACAACTGATCTAGACAATAGCAGTAATCTAACATTGAGCCAGACCATTATTAAGGAATAAACAAACTCATCAGCTCGGGAGAATCCACATACATGGATTGCTTCATCATTCAAAGCAAAATGAGAATGCATGTTTAGTCAACAATATAAACCTTACCTTTATCAAGATCAAAATCTGCTCAGTAAGGTTTGTAGTTACTCCCTTGACGATTGCGACCTGTCTTACCAAACCCTGATTGTTGTTGTTGTTGACCTGAATAGGCATAAAAATAACAGTTTTACAGAGCACGAGTCTTCTTTTGTACAACAGAATGATATTATTAGTTTGTTCCTTCTCACTAAAATGTGCGCATAATTTGCAGCATATCTGTTTACAACAAAGAAGATTTTCAAATTTGCGTCTCATTGCGATGCGGGTTTATCCACAGTAAATTCAGACAGGGATAACTATTTAAATCATCGACACAAAGATTGAAAACAATTTTTGAAATATTAACCTATACACCTCGCATGAACTAAAATAAATCATTTTTGGATAAACAATTTATCATAATACAACCACCTATTATGAGTAGCAGTCTTACCTCCCCCAAAGCCATATCCTCCCCCAGCAGCGCCCCCTCCCCCAAAACTGTAACCACCGGTGCCTCCATAACCATAACCACCCTGGTTAAAATTTCCATACCCGCCGTAGGGATCAAAGCCACCACCATATCCAAAATTACCCGGTCCATATCCACCAGGTCCGTATGCCTGATTGTATCCACCACCAGGACCTCCATAGTCTGAAAATTGTATTAAATATTCATTTATAAGGGGTTGGTCGTTGGTTGAAATTGAACAAATAGTTTGCGCTGCAACAATTTAAAAGCTTGTGAGCAATTGCCATGGCTTTGTCCTATTTGATCAACCATTATCACTAACACTAGGTTTCCATAGTAGTAGCACCCAGCAGTGGTTTTGACAAGGTGGGGAAAACCGAAAAAGGTTAATAAATCTACTATTCAGAATAGTGCTTGGGGTACAAAGGTGACTGCAGCTGAATACATGATTAAAAAAACAAATAACATATTTCACTATTAAACAAGATCTTACTGCCAAATCCTCCACTCCAGTCCGAGCCACCGCCCATGTGTCTTCCACCCATATTTCTACCCCGACCTCTTGAACCATCGCGGCCATGGGAAGGAGGCTCTGCCTGCTTGCATTCAACCTTAGAAAATTTAGATTTAGCAGATTATTTTTCTATCCCTGCATAAAGAAACATTTTACAAAACAAGGAACAATTCAAGCCATCAAATTATTAGATAATCTAATAGTAACTTTAATCCTAAAATCTGGTGTGAACATTGTGCCCTCAATCTCCAGTAGTGTCTCATTGCGATGCGGGTTTATCCACAGTTAATTCAGACAGGGATAACTATTTAAATCATCGACACAGCGGTTGGCATTAACCTAGGCTTGAAAAATCCAAATCAGTGGATCCAGAATAACTCCTCAAAATACCTGCTTTCCATCCAAATCGTGATACTTATCAACAGTGATTTTAGCAATCGGCCCATCTTTAACAAAGGTGATGAAACAGAATGGTTTGGGTTTGTCAGTTTTCTGATCACGGGGTCTTTCATACTTCTCAATCTAGAAATAGAGTGAAAATGCTTTCCAGTAAGTTTTTGGAAAGGGTGATTCCAAATGTAAGCTAGCAAATTTTGAAAACTTACTTTTCCAAATTTTGAGAAATATTCCTCGATAGTTTCTTGCGTTGTCTCTGGTTTTACACCACCGACAAATAATTTGCCCTCTTTTCTTTGTGGTTGTGCTATTTTAGAGTCTATAGTCCGATCGTCAACCTTATGAGGTACATTTGCCAAAGCCTATAAATATAATAACTTTTTAATTTTTCGGTCCCAAAGTATAAAATTTTTCAGTATAAAATTAATTCAAAAAAGTCATCTTACTTTTTCTAAACCAGCGACTTCTTTAAAAATGACAAAACCAAAGCAGCGAGATCTTCCAGTCGTGCTGTCCATTTTGACTGTGGTCTTTTCTACATCACCAAACTGTTGCATGAAATCTTTCAGGGTAGCTAAAATAGGTTTTACAATTCAAATAACTAATAAAAATTTGAAAGTTTGAACCAACATCAATCGAAATATACTAACTTTGATTTGTTTCCCAAGACAGTCCTCCGACAAACAGTTTCCTGAAAAAGAAAAATAATAGTGCTATAGACATTGACTATCTTATTATGAAGCAATCTGGAACACTGTCTTTATCGATTTCAAATCATAGAATTAATATGGACTCCCATTGATAACATAGGTGCCATTGCTTCCCACTTCACAAACATGATAAACTTGTGTTCAACATGTCAATAAACTACCAGTAATTAATAATGGGAAAAACGGAAAGGTGCAGGAGTTTGATCACTCAATCAAACACTTTCCACCTACCTTATCATGAAATCTCGAAATGAAAAAAAGCATAAAAGCCAGGAAAACAAGTATCAAATTTTTTTTCAAGAGTTACCCTTACCGTGCGGTGGGCACGTATACGTACCAACGACAAAACTCGCTAGATCGCGGCGGGTACTTTAAGTTACCCATTGTTTTATTTAGCACCCCATTGTTTTATTTAGCAATCGGTTGCAAACTGTTGGTCTAGTTTTTCCGGGTTTAAGTTTATTGATAAGAAGGCTTCGAGATTAACATAAGCAACGGTAAATCTCGCTTTCAATTACGACGGGAACTTTATTTGCGGCGGAACGAGGGAGTGTTTTTGAAAATTATGCAAATTTCGGTGTTTTTTGGGTGGTAATAAAAGACATATTATCCCTTCCATCTACCAAAGTATTTTGAGTTAGATCACGAAATTGCTACAGCAACATTATGCTATTGTTTGCCAACCACGAAGTGGTAACAGTAAAGGATTTAGCGAATATTTCTATTTTTTATCGCGGTTTGAAGTTTCAACTCCCAAGAAAAAAAAATGCCTTTTTTCTATCCGGTTTGAGACTCAGACCACCACTTTTAAAAAAAACTTTTTTTTTAAACGCCAACTGCAAGCTCTTTGAATTGGCTTTCCAACGAACCGTCAGTGGGCAGCAGAGGATCATTAGTTTTTCGTTAGTCGATCGATTAGTTGTGGGGGTACAAATGCATAAAATCGGCGTAGCAAATACGATTATTTAATAATAAAAATCGCATGGAAAGGGTTAAATTCACCTTGATAGTGAACCTAATCTTTTTATATCTGGCCAGACGTGTAATGATAACTATTGAAGAGTGCATCTGCGTTATTTCTTTTCTGGATTGAAACTACCAGAATGTACCATGGATTATGATATGTTCTAACAATGGCGATATTTATTTTAAATTTGGACATCAACAATCCATACCAAGGCATTGAAATGAAAGCAACGATGCAGCATTGCATTGAATTATTATTGTATAAATTATTCATGTGCGTCATGCGATGCCCCGCATCAGGGCTACTCAACTATTTTTACCAAAGATCCGCATATAAAACTTAAAAATTATTTGGGTCAGGTCTTTTCAGAAATATTTTCGCTTCCTCAAGCGCGTACCTTCTCGGCCGGCTAATGACTATTAGCTCATCAAGATTGTTTATTATGGGGTTATAGTTCTTTTTATATATATTCAAAACTATAGTGATTTTATAAAAGGAAACTGCAAAAGTGGGGCAAATTTAGAAGAAATTTTTTTTCATGAAATGGAAATCCAATGTGCGTTTTAGAAGTTTCAATCATGAAAAAAGTAAAAATGTATTAATCTGTTGTTACGATTAGACGTATTGACAGACTGAAATAGTTTGTTCCAGTATCAATACAATTTTACCTTCCAAAATTTCCATAATTTGTGTTCTGCTGATTTCATGAATTATCAAAATAAAAATAAAAAACATTTCGACTCCTATGAATCGATGTGCATTTTTTTGGAATATAACCAGCAAAAACTTCCCAAATAACTTCCAGATTTCACACACCGGTTGCATTGTCCCAACACACATAATCTCGTAATAGTATTTCTGTATTTACAGATTTTTATCTTTACGTATCAATATTTTGATCGGACCTGTCGGCAATAATGATATTGAATTGAAAGAGTTCTGAATACACAGTTGCACTTTCATCGTACAGTTCCCAACTTCGAAGAAAATCGACCCATTGAAAATGCCCACAAAATCGTAGAGCTACGAGTAGGGCTGTCCAAGCGAACCAAATATTCGAAATCGAATCGCAAATTATTCGAATCGTTTTTCGGCTAATTTTCGAATCGCTAAAATTAGGTACCGGTACATAAAGCGGAAACCACCTTTACGGGATGTTTTTCATCGGGCAAGCGGCGGCGCTCCGAGCTCAGACCACTCTCGCTCCCGGCTTGCTTAATTGGTTTCCCGATATTTCTCTCGCCTTCATTTTGTGATAAACATGTCATTACTAATGCCCGCCCGGTGGCACGTGATTAGCCATTTCATGCATGGTCATCATAACAAGGTATAATCGATCGTGACGTTTTTGAGAGAGAACAAGGAGACAATTTAGAAAACGATAGTTATATAAATAGAATTGATTTGGAGCTGTTGAGTTAGTTATCATAGGAACATGGTACAGGCAACTCAAAGCTGAAACAGGTGTTTTGGGATCCTTATGATGGCAATACCTTCTTTAAATGGAATTTGTAATTTCTTATGATGGCATCACTGTATTATCCATCTATATACCAAGACAAATAATTGCACTCTTGCATTTTGATGGCTGTTGTACACTAACAATATTATAGTCATCAAATAATATTGTCATCAAACTAGCTTGGAATTTTTAAATGCAATTTTGAACTTAAGCAACAGTGTTATCTATATTGATGGTTGTTATTATTTTGCTGAAATTTACACAAAAAAACATAAAGACTAGTGAATAGGATTAAAATAGCATCTACAGGCTTTATATGTCCTATTAAAACTGAACCCATCAAAATTGAGATTGCAATTTTTACTCTTAACAGTTTTTGAGACCCAAATTTTGGAGTTCTCCAATTTTTTTGACCAGTTCATACAAGCGTGTGATCTCCTTTGATGTAACTGCACATACGTTACCACAACATCGAAGGGCAGGCGTTTTTTATAATAGAGACAGATTTACTATTGCGCAATAATATTCGATTATTCGGTTCGATTCGGCGAAAATATTCGATTCGAATCAAAAAATTATTCGATTTTGGACAGCCCTAGCTACGAGGCATAAGTGGTCGATAAGGCGTGCTAAATATCATCGCAGTTCATTAATTTTTGCAGCATTAGTTACACCGATAAAGTTGATGGCCGCAAAGTGGCTAAGCCAACCTAATTTCATCGAAGAAATGGAATAGTCAAAAAATGACTGATTTCCAAGTGTGAAAGCTAAAGAATCCAAATGCTGAATACGGTTATACAGTAATAGTGGCAGATTTAAAGAAAATACAATAGAATCCATGCTCAGTTACATTATACAACAGTTGATAAAATGGCTCAAACGACAACGGCAATTGTCACCACTTTATTTCAGACGCAAATTACTTACATCATTGCATAGACTTTCTGTATTTAGATAACTTATGTTAAAATATATAATTCACCTTTTATCCTCGTTATTCTCTTCTTCATCACCACCATCGCCATCGGTCGGCTGCTGCTTGTCTTGGTCCCCATTGCTGCCATTGACGGCGTCGTCAGTCCCACTTTCCGTTCCGCCAGCAGGCACTTCGCTTTCTGCTGGAGGTTGATCCGCGGTCAGTTGCTGGTTTTCTTCCGATGCAGCAACAGTAGGATCTGTAGTTTGTTCCAATACGGGTGTTTCTTGTAACTCGATATCGGCCATTTTATAGATTAATTCGCAAACACGCAGAACGAACAGCAAGACGACCGTATACTAGCAGACGAACGAATGAAAGAACGACGAGTCTTGATCCACGCCAGACATCGCGTCGCAATACCACGTGATTAATCGTCGTTTTCATTGGATGCTGTTTAAAATACGAGTTGCGTGCGCATTCACGCAAAAGCGTGAACTTTGATTGGAAGCCAGTGTAAAGGAGAATTTATGTCGGTCTGGCGCGTACCGTACAAATTCTCGTATTTAAGTTCAACCTTACAGTATTGGATACGTTAACAAAAGTGCAACATTTCTGAGGCTGAGGATCGCGCGGTTGGGGTTAACTGTACATGAGAAATATTACATAACATATGTGAAAATAAGCAGCCGTAGCCAATTCATTGTAAAAACTTGTCAATTTATGGCTATTCATACCCTACGGCCAACGCCACGGCCTACTCCCATTCTTCACGTGGACTTGACATTAACTGACTATTGTACATATCGTCGTTTTGCCGCACCCCTGTCACTACAGGTTTACTTGCATATTTTATATATTTTACGTCTATTGTAACGCAGTATTTTTGAACTGCTGTTAAATTTATGAAGAGTAAGTACCCTAGATTTATTCTGTGAAGTCGACAGGGCGGCGCGAGACGTTCTTTGAATCAACAAAGACCAACTCTTGTCTATGGTGCAAGATATTACAGGCCAATGGAGTTTCCAAAAGTGTTATACTAGATTTTGAAATACACTTGCCCATATTATCAGTAGTGTATCAAGATGTCATTTTCAGGGTAACGTCATATTGGTTATTTCATGAAATCCACTATGACGCCATATTGTCGTAGAAAGCAAGCTAGTGCGCTCGTCACACAAGTATTCGCCATCCCGTGCGAGAGTTTGAAAAGTGACAAGAACAAACAATTATCAACATTAGGTATGCAAAGGGCAGTCACCTGAGCGGGAGTTGGCATTTTTATTGGCTTTAGTCGGATTGCGTCTCGTTTGTCGGGCACCATGGAAAAGTCCAGTTTTATAGGATATTTACCTTACTTTTAATAATATGATGTAATAAAAAGTTAAAACTTGACTAAATGGTAAAAGCCTTGCCCGCCAATTGAGAATGTGTTACCCCCTGCAGCATCGGTGACTTTGCGTTTGGCGACCTCGCTCAGTAATCAATAGTTTATTTTCCCACCATGCTAAAAGCTCATCGTTAATACAAGAGAGCGATGCTCAAATAGGATCACACAAAAGTTAAAACGAGGTAGTAGGCCTACGGGTATGAAATCTGTCACAGAAATTTTCGAGACAAGTAAAAAGTGATTTTTTCATAGCAATAAGAAAAAAAAATACCAACAGGAACAACATATATATGTAATAACGAAACGATTCGTGTCCATGAGAGCTCGCTAGAAGTCAATCACACAGAATCAGATGGTACGCTCGACATGTCAGGTTTAATTTTTACTAATGTCAAACTGTACTTAAACAATGGAAACTATTCGGCCAAGTTTGAAATGCTCTGACTCATTATGGTACATCAAAATGAATTCACTTTAGCTCATTTCGATATTCGGTCAATACAAAATCATACCAATGATTGTATACTCAATTGTCTTGTTATATATACCGGTATATATGGTTTGAAATCATCTCTGTCTATAATAACACTCTCCGAATTTGAAGTAGACCCCGCGGTGGACATCCAAAGTTACAATTTCTCCATATCCCCCATGTTTATGAAAAATATCAATCAAATTCTTTAAAATGAAACGAAGGCTATGGTCATATCAGCTTATCTTCAGCTTCTTTGAAGTATTATACTATTAGTATCACGCCTTGTGAACTATTTAATTATTACCTGTTTCTTGATCTTTCATTGTGAATCTCTCATACCTTTTGATTATTCTTGAGAAGTTGATTCCCGCACGCATCCAATTTCCATACCAAATTGCGATTACTTTGGTTTTGCAATTAAAATTTCATTATCAATTAATTAACAAACAATTACAGTGTTCCCGATACAGGTCGGAATCAATTCGTTCAAATTTATGCTGAATATTCACATCGCGCGCACTTGTTTATGTGATATGAGCGTAACGGTAACATCCTCTTCCACAGCATAAGTCTGATGTAAAAGCATATGTATGAATCTTCTAAAATTGACCGATGAATATAATTATGAAGTTGCGGAATCGACGTTTTAATTCAGGCAAAATTTGATGCCGTATTATCGAAAATGTACTCTTTACGTAAATGCAGTTCATATTATTGCTCAATTTGGCAAAATATATACAGAATATATTGGACATGTAATATATTCGAATTCGTCTGACCCATATAGACATTTACTTGGTTTTGTCCGTGTAAAATATTGCTCTGATTTTTTTTGAATATTTTGGGAATACCGGTAATTATCAAGTATCTCTGTTTGGTATTGAATGTTCAATATGTTTGCAATAGTAGGAAATTCTTCAACTTTTGTGATTTATCATAATGTGTATTGAGTCGGTAAATAGTGTTAACCTAATAAAATCGTTTTTTATTATATATTAATGCAAAAAAGCACAATATGTAAGTTATGTTCACCTGCTTTAATTATGGACACTAGGTTGTGTTCTGGAATTTTTTTTGCAATATCTCTTTCTCATAGTCGTATCAATCTTGCAATTTTTATACAATTATTTAAGCACAGTCATTGAGTTAAATGAGCTAATTTCTTAACCAAAATCCGATACTAATTATTATCTTCTGGTATTATTTCCATGCTTTGTAACACATGAATCCTGTACAGGCCGACCTGAATCTGGCAACCGTGAATTTTCCCGCATGTTGCTCTCTCCATTCTGAGTTTTTAAGCTCTGGCATTAAGCACTAGAATCTTTTTTTTTTGTAAGTGCCTATTTTTCATGCTTTATTTTTTATTCAGCTAATATTTGGAGTGATGGTATAGATTAACTTGTGTGTAACTGTCGGAATAAACTGGTCCACTGATGTCCATTATCTACTTGTTATTAATTAGAGACTTTGAAGCGAACAGTTAAAAGTTTTCTCTTTTTTCCATTTTTTCCCCCTGGAACTAACTGATTTTAGCGGTATCAGACTTTTGTAATAGGTTCGAAGGACCCTCTTATCGACCATATTTTTACATGCAATTTAGCCAATTGTTTTTTTTACTTTTGTGATTAGACGCAAAAGTCGAAGACCATTTTTATTTGTGAGCACTAGGACTGATTAAAACTCTAATAGGGATGAACAACCACCAGACTCGGCACATACAATGAATCCGTTTGAGCCACAAGTAGATGAAACACCAATTAATTGCAGGCGCTCTCAATAATATTAATCAGGTTCGATCGCATTTACTCGACGCTTGGTTTTCTTCGACCAAAGCAGGCTTCCGTAGGTAGAGATGGATAAGGATGTTCATAAATATTATTATTTGGTTCGGTGGCTGAACGACGCTGTATATACTTAACGATGGATGTTATAATCAACCGTCCGAAATTTTGATAAAGTTCGATTTGCGCAAATGATTTCTCAAACGGTAATCGGTATTTTTGAAATTCATCAGACATGGTTTCTGCTCTAGCTGCTCATCTAAATAACAAGAGAGCAATGCTCAAATATATGGACACGCAGAACAATTCCCCAAAAATCATATGCGGTGACCAACGACTAACATACCGGCGGTGACTTACCAGTACCTGTATCGGGGTACCGTGACGGTACAGGGACTGTCATAGATATTTTAGGTCCTGTGACAATTGAAACATCAGTTGAAATATTTCGTGATATGAGTCAATTATGTACCGTATTATCGGATCAGGTACCGAACCACAGTCAAACATTTCAGATAAAAACGTTACTAAATAACATGCGTCAACTTAACACCAGCCGAATCGGGGTAAAATTTTTGGTACAGTGACTGTCATAGCCGTTTAGGGCTGATGGACAATTCGACTACACGGACAACTCATCAGGCCTAGGGTGGTGTAGCCAGTCTGCGGACAATTTCATTCAAACCGCTATAAAACAAAAACCAATATATCTAACCCGTTAATTTTTTCACCGTGGGTGCATTGGCGGCATTTATTCTACACGCTAAACCTCGTATTAACTTTCTACGACAAAGGGTTGAAGCTATACAAATCCCCAAAGTACGGCACTCGAAAGACGTATTTGCGACAACTCACCAGGCCTAGGGTGGTGTAGCCAGTCTGCGAACAATTTCATTCAAACCGCTATAAAACAAAAACCAATATATCTAACCCGTTAATTTTTTCACCGTGGGTGCATTGGCGGCATTTATTCTACACGCTAAACCTCGTATTAACTTTCTACGACAAAGGGTTGAAGCTATACAAATCCCCAAAGTACGGCACTCGAAAGACGTATTTGCGACCGAACGACCAGTGTGCGACCACGGATTTCAAGCCTTGATCATCGTTTATGCTGCGTCGAGACTATCGCATACGCAGCCATACAGCAATCAAACAGACAAAACACGGTGGTCGCAAATTGGTTGACAATTGTTGGTCTTGTGACAGCGTGAAAACATTGGGCTTCTAATTGCATTTCTGACCGTCATATATTTCAAGAACACGGTTATTTCGAACAAAACTCGTTAAATTATAAACAAAGCACCACATCACAGCAATCAAACAGACGAAAACACGGTGGCCGTAAATTGGCTGACAAAGATATTATCGACGTATCGGAAATGCACACCCCCTATTCCCCCTCCTTCAAATGTAGAAACGCGAAACTTTCAAATATGGTTAAAAGAAACACAACTCTACCCACCTGCCAAGTTTCATCTTTTTATTTCTCATATTTGTATGGATTTTCAAGCTTTTGACAGCTACGAGTTAGTTCAGTGTCACCGCGCGGTGTTACGGTACCAGAACTCCTGTCTTGTGACAGCGTGAATTGAAATTGCAAGATGGTCCGTTGGACACAAAATGGCGTCCGATATCCGCAGAACGTTTAGTGACGTCATAGCAAACAAAAACAAATCTTACAGAGCTAACAGAAATATTTGAAATAAATAAAAGTAATAGCCTTCTGGAGAAAAATTTCATCTTCAACCACTGAAAATTTCAAAGCAATTAGTCCAGTAATCAAAGAGAAAAGCGACTTTTTAAAAACGTGTCAAAGAACAAGAACAACAACAACAACATAATATTGAAACGATCGTTATGTCCACTACGTGTCCAATAACTTTGATGAATTGGCGAATAGAGGTTATAGCATATTTACCAGAAGACCCGTACAATCTGCCAATCGTATTATTATTGTTTATCATAATCATATATCGAACGCTGGTTGTGCGACTGACGACACTAAAAATTCATTCAAAGTCGAGATAATCTCAATGTCAAAGTTTGCTGACGAAATCAGTTACTTTCGACGGGAAATTGAATGTATAATTCTACGCATACACCTTCGGAAGCTGCGAAGTCTCTCCCTTTCTATTGACTCTAATGCTTCAACCCAGCACCCTGCGCGTGACAGAAACGGACAGATCATGAATTTTATGAAACCGCCGTCGGCGAATGCCCAAACTAGTCAATTCTCCTACGGCAGGGCAAAGTGGGACAAGTCGTAGCAACTCGATATAGCAGTTTATATATATAGGTGAAGCACTTGTCACAAAACGATATACCGTGTTTGTAATCCAAGTTTTAACTCTAAGAATCGATTCCGAAGTCGATTTTGCCATCCCTAATTATTATTACTGGTGTTTTCGTTTTTACATCCCCAGTAGTGAAATCGGAACTTTATCTTGGAAAAGTCCTGTAGTATTCTTAATCACAACGTTGAAGCTCAAACATCAACCTACTTACTACAGCGTTCGCGTTCTACCAAACCCTTCTTAACGGAGCTACAATCATCAAACTAGATTTTAATAATAAAAAGCCTTAGTAGACCAACATCTGCGAGTTCAAACAATGTCAATGACTTCGTAAAGAAGTATCGCATTAGCGATTCGGTTATCTTCGCATATACCTACATTTCCATCCGCAAACTGCATTCAGAACATTTGTACCTAAATATTTTTACACCCATGACATGAGCATTTGCATCCACGGACGTAATTTAATTCGATTTTGCCACCATACTTTACCTCGTCGTCACAATTCTGTCTGTTCATTTTTGCGCGGTGCCAAAACACATATTCCACATAGATATATATCACTCTGAATGGGCGCGTTAAGACGAGATCAATACATCGGCAATATTGTTACTTTTTATCCGGTCGGTATATTACCTTGAACTCGTACGCTTGCAATCGCAAGGCTCATCTTTCAATCCTGGATGAGGGCTTCGAAGTTTTTGAGTACAGTACATGCATTCCCAAGTTTTATGATCGGTTTCGATATCAAATCTTAAGTTAAATCTCCCATATATACGTCTTCTGTCTGGATGAATTGTTTCTGTGCATCCGATGTTGTCCTCGTAGCATATGAAGTAACCGTCCGAATATGATCTTGCAGTTGAGTTTCCCATGTCATGTTGGTGATTTGGCCTATAGTCAGGTATGATACAATTTGTTTGTAATAGTTAAACGTTTTAATTCTTCAAAAAAATGTTCACGCCGCATATTCCATTAAAATTTTGCATTTTGTAGTCAATGGACGTAAAAGCCCTGCAACCGCAAAAAGGTTTGATATAAACTTTAATTAAACAATATTAAACAAGGCCCATAGAAGATTTTAATTTTTAGTTTTTTGATAATCGTGCATCTCTTACTGCCGCCACCTTTGAACCACGAGGACCAATAGCTTGATCTGTAAGTTTATGACCAAAACGTTGTAAATCGGGAAGTCATATTTGACATTCCTACTACCAATTGGCGCCAGTTCTGCTTTTCCAATTTATCTTTGATCATTTTTCTTCACATTCTGTCTACAATTAATGATATCGTCCGCTATGTTTGTGATACCTCGGCAGTTCTTCACAAAGTTTCTGATCTGTAATGCTTATCTGGTGCACATGGTGAACTGAACATAAAGGACCGTGGATTCATTCATTTTCAACGCCTTATTTGGTAGATAAAATGGTACTCCCGAAGTATGTGTACCAAGATGGCGGACACCGGAATGTGGTATGTGTACCAGGTTAGAGGTAGGCCATCATTTTATTCCAATTTCCCATGTTTTACTTTTATTACGAGTTCGGGGACTAGCCAAGTGACTCTCGTAGTATTTGTACCTGAAATTATGGCCTAACCCCAGCCTGGTACACATACTGCGTTCCGGTGTCCGCCATCTTGGTTCACATACTTTAGGAGCACCGACCAGCGATAAGAACGGTTTTTACAAAATAATTGTGAAGACAGTGAAAGGCTGAATAATTCCCTAAAATTGTTGAATTACCCTTTCTGGGGTAATTACCCCCAATTTGGGAACAGCTGCTGTAAAACATATTCATATTATTGGCATGCAGTTCCTTTTGTATAACATGCAGACAGATGAATATTTAAAAAAAAAACGAATGCTTCTCATAATAAAACTGCTTAAAATGTAATTTTAAGAATCTATTCAAACGCTGGATGTCTTGATTTATATTAATTTCACATACATAACATATACTCGTGGTGCAAATTTATATTTTTTTATTGAAATACCAAAATATCACTGAAACAAAAACTGCATGGTAAGGACTATATAGGAACGTCTAATATAGAGTCGTACTAATCCATGATCTCTGAACCAACGTTCTCATAAGGTGCAAACAGAAGATTTGAACCAGTATATTTTTATACCCACAGATATTTAAATTTACAGAATTCGCGAATATCTGTGTTACGATAAAATTGCATTTCTGTATTTCAATCAAAGTTATATAGTTCAGAGTTAAAAATTCTTAATTGGACAATGAAACAACTTTGTTGACCGGTAATGGCTCGCATTAAAACAATGGAATGGAACTGTTTGTAATTACAGTAGAATGAAGGTATAATAATAATAGATTGATATTTTGGTATGTTTTCTCTCATCTGTCTTCGAGTTGAGGCGCGTCATCATTTGAGTCGTACGGCAGCCGGAAGTTGACATCGTTATAGGCTGAATGTAAATGTAAGATTACAATAAAAGCAGATATCGAAGAGATTGATATCCAAGAGAAAATATTCCAATAGTTGACTAGTTTATATAAAGCAAATTAAGCAGTGTCTCGTAGCAATGTTTTGAAATGGACCATTCAATATTGCGAGAAGCATCCGAGAAATAGTATGGCGAAATGCCCGATGCCATACTGTATACCAGGGTGTGGCCAACACGTCGATCGTCACGTCAGGAATGGTCGATTGCGTATGATTTTCAGTCAACTTTATTAACAACATGCCAAAAAAGTGTGTTCAACTACAATTCAAGCAGTGAATGTGTTAAAGTAAATAAACTGGCCGAATGAGACGCTTTGCCGAACAATTATACAACCTATATTTCACTTTGCCCTCAACTTCTTCATCATGCTAGAATTTACGTCTACGTTGAGTGCCTAATATTTTATTCATATCAGTGGCAGTAACATCAGAACATCCATTTTATTGTTATATTTGATTAACAATTAGAGAGCCAAAAATTGTTAGTACTCATTCCTTTTTTTTGTGAATTTTTTATTGATCAGTTGATTGCATTGTATTGCGAAGATTTCAGTTGATTTCAGTCGAAAATAGGTTACCTACGCCTGCTGAATACCAAAGATTTATTGAAATGATTTTTCGGGTCCAGATTTTCTGGTTTATCATTAATGTGACTCAACGTACTAACAAAATATACAACATACCTTGAGTGACAACTTTGTTGGTATCATTTGCATTTCCTGAATGCAGAAATAGAGTTATACATAATTTTGATAGAAATACAAATCTGACTATACGATATATCCTGAATTGAACATAAATTGAAGTAACACACATATATATGGTAAAACAATGAATAACTTTACCTTTGTGTAAACTTTCTACATAGCGCATGAATTTTGTTTGTTGAACTCTTGGCAATAATCCTTTTAATGAATTATCTTCCAGAGGAATCTCAAAAAAATCTTCCGAGCCGTAAATGCCAATATCATGCAACTTTTTGATGAAACAGTCAAACCTATCATCTGGTAATGTTGAAAGAACTTCTTTCAATTCGGCCACCAATCCGGGAGATGGCCTATGTCTTTCCGCTTCATCGTCCGAGCCCTGAACTTTTAATAAATTGTTTTATTTGTTTGAGATACTTTGTTGTGTTTCATAAATATTCAGGCATATCATTAAAACTTGTAGTCAATAAAACATATCATCATATTTTTGTATTTAAAAGTATTGGGCAATATTTCTTCGACTAATGAGTACAGTTTTTGGTACTCCCGAAGTTTGTGAACCAAGATGGCGGACACCGGAACGTAGTATGTGTACCAGGTTAGGGTTAGGCCTATTCCAATTTTCCTTATTTTAGTTATATTACAAGTTCGGGAACTAGCCAAGTGACTCCCGTAGTGTTTGTACCCGAAATTATGGCCTAACCCTAACCTGGTACACATACTACGTTCCGGTGTCCGCTATCTTGGTTCACATACTTCGGGAGCACCCAGTTTTCGTAGTTTTTCAAAGAAGTTATGGATTGAAGATAGGAATCAAGAGTTCTTTTTATTTGTTATTCGATAAACATATAATGCTTACTTACTAATTTTAATATGACCTCCATCTTCATTCTTGACGTCAGTATTTCCGACCGCCACAGCTGCTAATGATGTAGTACCTGTATTCGGCAGATAAGGTTAATAAATGCAAGAAATTTCAGGTGGATATATAACACACTTTCCCTAATAGTCACTTATCGTAGTATTAAATTGAAATGGCCACAGGTAGCGTTTTTTCGTCTATACCAAAGGCGAATTATTTGACTGAGGTTCGAGTTTTGAAAACCACGAGAAATTGCTCGGGTACAGTAGCAATAGCACCGATATGTGTATTATATTAGGTGCATTAGCAAAACAGGTAGAAGCGTATGAGCTCAAAAACTCACTGTCGCCGTCCATGACTACACAATATCTAGTTACATGTGTGAAAACCCACATTGATTTGACTTACCCTGCGCTCCATTCTTGTTCCTGTTGACTGAAACAAAGGGGGAAATGGTTTTAGCATGTGGTTTGGGCAAATCAAACAAGCACACTGAAACTTTTACACATAGTACGTTCAAATTAACAAGAGTATCGTGTAGGGCAAGTGGGACATGATATTTGTGAGACACCCAGAATCGTGCCACATATAATTAAAGCAAAATTTATATTCTGTCTCGTAATCCACAAAGTTACAAATGTATCCGTGGTAAGGGCCTTACAGCTATTTGAATGGATGTAAACTCCGATTGGAACTGCTATGAACTAGGAATGAGACAGAAAAAATTTCCCCAAACAAATCTATATATAAACTGCTGGACCAGAACTAGAAGAACATTGATTTAAATTTGGAAATGTATCGTGAATCAGCCAAGAAGCTTAATAGAACTTTGAGATAATGAACAGTGTTTTATACAAAAAATAAATAAACCATCTGTATGTAACTTAAATCTAAACTTACTGATTGTGACATTTGAAGATGATTTGAGATTAACTTCACTAGTTCTGCCGGAAAAATTAGGATTAAATGATACACATGCAACATGATCTGGATATTTTTGTGCCATCACTATCTGATTTGTCTATTACATCTGAATTTAGAAATTCAAAGTTATACTTTAATAAAGCATTCATTTCGACACGTTTTTGAATAGATTAGCTGTTATTTTGCTGCTGCTCCTAAAACAATGGCGCGTAGACCATTCATAATCATAAACACCTATTCCCCCATTGTGGGACGTTTACCACTGTAGCTAAAGTAAAAAATCCTGACAGATTACACGTCATTATAGCAAGAATATATTAACCAATGCCTAAGAACTCTGAATTTAAAAGATATGTTCATATAGAATTTGTGAAGTGAATGTGTTATTTCAGAAAGGAAAGCGATAACGTCGTCTTTTTGTGAAAAAACTTGCCAACTCGCCATGGAGAAAGCCTTAACCCTGCAGAGTTCCGCCCGAGTGGTTCACAAGAAATTCTAGTCGCAATAAAAACCTCGTTTATCCGCGTATATCGTACAAGGCTTAACCTCAAATTATATTTGGAGTCGATTACAAATATATATATAATATATATACGCTAAAATCTACAAACTTGACTTTTTTCTCGAATTGCTATTGGTCGCGCAGTGGCGTATCTAGGACATGACAGTCATAGCTAGAGGACCGATTATTTAGCCATAAGGTTCCGTCAGACGATATAAGCTAATAGGTACGCCCAAAATATTGTTCATAAGGTTCCTCATTTTTTACGGAAAATTAAATTCCAAGAGAAAACGCCAGCTTCACGTTGACTGTCAAATATTGTAACCGACATGCAAATTTTAAAATGCTTATTACTTTACTCTTTATCTTTATGCTTGGCGATATACCACACCGAGGTACTTCATATACAGACATACCTGACAATCTGAATCTATATACAAAGCTTCTTATATATTCAGCAATTCAGTATAAGCAAATATTTACTCATAAAATACATTCTGCTTCCTCATTTAGGCTAGGCATGTCTGAGTCGCTTAATAATATGATCATCATTCAAACATAATAAAATGAAACCTTGTTTAAGCTTACAAATTTCTGAACCGATTTTTCAAACTACTAGAGCAACGTCATATTTTACCTGGCCATAACATTAATAACATAATTCTCTCAAATATGTTGAGTTACAAATATTTTGAGTCTGAATGAAATATAATCTCATTTTATTTTTTAGTTATTCTCCTTTTATAAAAGATAGTCTCAGAAGCAGCGCTCTAGAACAGCGCTGGCACTAGAACAGTAAAAGTAAGCCTATACTCGTACTCACCGAGTTGCCTAATTCCCCAAAAAAATCCCCAGGTAAACGTTCGTGGGACGGACGCATTTATACGCAGCGATGCGTTAACGCAAAGAATGCTCAAAATTAAATTCATTCTAGCTCACTTTCATTCTTTTTGTAGCCTTTGGCACCATTAAAAAATGTTGTTTCTGGTATTTCAGTGAATCAGTACTTTTGTGAAATTGTCCTCAATAATATTTATCAATTTATACATATGTAACACTACAGAACATTTACGTTAATGATTGTTGCGATTACATTCTTTGCAGCTTTATACACTATGCTGCTAAGCTCAGATCAAGCCTCGCTGAATTATAAGTAGAGGCTTTTTCTTAAATGTATATGACTGCTTTTTTCAGCGAGGTATTGATGAAAAACGTCTATTCTCGTGTGTGATAACTCAGCAAACACACCGAGTGATGGATTCTATGTTTTCAGTATTTTGTATATCTGGACCCATTACAATAATAAAGTCTCATACAAATATGCCGTCACTTACAATTATGTTCTTGATATATTTCAATTATTCGAGATTCAAATCGAAAAAATATTCTATTCTGAAATCATCAGGTATTCGTAAATACTCAACCCTACTTGCCATATAAAGAAATTTCAGACTGGCGTTGGGAGCCAAACATCCAGTCCTGGCGTAATTGAGCGTAATCTGCCTGTATGCTAGTTTACTTCTTCTCTCTCTTCTTTACTAAAATTAAACAAAAAATTGGTACAAACTGTTTTTTTAATCGCTTCTCTGCATACAATAGACTTTAAACTGTTAAACTTGCCAAAAAACTAATTTCTTTCAAACCATCTATTCTTGTAACGATTCCTGTTTTCGTAAGTTCCACGTGCCTACCTTTCTCATTCGTCAAGAAAACAATCTTGTTATTTACAAACAGTATTTGGTTCAGTGGCCCATATTTGGACGAGTGTAATACTTTTTCAATTGAATAAGAAATAGTAGCAAAGCTAATTGAAATATTATTTTAATCCCAAAATGCAAAAATATTGCCCACAAATGAATAAGTACCTAGTGACGTGAGGTTATAGTTTCATTTGTGTTCGCTAAAGTCAAAGCAAATATACTTGCTAAAAGCTTCAAATAGCGCGACAAGGACATAACACTAACTTCTCAGTGCCTTCAAATATGAAAATCTCAGAAGGAATAATTCAGAAACCGATCTTTGCCAAGTGGATATCGACAGCTGCTTGTCTAGGAGCGGAATGTGGAGATACATTAAAATAGGATTGATATTTGGTAATTTCAAACATTTATCTCTACAGTGGCTTTGCTTTGTTCATCTTCAAATTCATGAATGACGTCATCATATTCGTCACCGTTGGTTAAAGCAGCTTGACTCTCATTGCGGTTCTTTTTTCGTGAGGACAAAAATAATCTGGAAAATCGTATCGCATTTTGTACAAATTAATTTCCTCTTAATATATAATGTGACAAATAAAACTAACCGATAGTACTATCAAATCAGCATAAACAAACATCATTTTCGGAAAATTTCGATCCATAAACAAGTTTTCTGGAATTAGTGAAGAAGTATGTAGTGTCGCTTTATTAAAAATTAAGCAATATTCTAATAGGTATGTGAACTATGCCATAAAAGTCGAGGTAAATTTTTTCCAATGTCATGTATGGATGACTTTCTGACTGGAATATGATTTCAATCTCACAATGTAGCATAGGTTGTGCGTATGATATCATATAATAGGCTACAGTACACCCACCTAAATTTCTCCAAATCAATTGCATCCTTCATGGTGTCGGGTAGAGGAGATTGTTTTGTTTCTGGTAACAATAAACAGAGTCCAGCAGTTGATATTCCCAAAGCCGCCATAACATAAAAAGGTATATTCCTTCCACCATTTTCCCCTGGAAAATATTGCCAAGTTACAACATGCATTTTTTTTTTAAATCTCCAATCATAATAGATGTTTATTTTAAATATGTATTCAATTATCGTGAAAGTAACAACTGGGCACAGCAATCATTTTCATCTTAAAATGGCGGAGAATAAGTGAAAATAACATGGCCATTCTGAGATAACTCACAGAAACTAGTAAATCTTAATTCTTCCAAAAACAGTTACCGCTTCTGGAAACACACTCTGCAGCTCATACTTACCTAAGTTCAACACTAGTAGGTAGATATTCAAATATTTTATAAAGATAAGTTCATAGGAAATATAAATAAAACTACGTTCATTCACTAGAAGAAACACCTATTAAAGTGTTTGGTTAATTTCTCATTTAATTAATTGTTCTACCTGCAAATACAAGGAATGGAGCACAGATACTGCCAAATCGTGACGTCATTGATGCGATTCCGATGCCAGTGTTTCGAAGAAGAGTAGGATACAGTTCAGATGTGTATAAATACAGAATTCCCATTGCTGACGAGGCAAAAAATTTACCCAACATGGCAAACGTTATAGAAACTCCTTCAACTGTAAAAATATCATCAAGTCATCGAAAGTATGCTTGAAAATTATTAATAAGTTACAAGCAATTTAAGTACAATATTTGAGTACACAAGGATACATATCATACAAATCCAATAATATTGAACTTACAATTTTGAAATGCAGGCGAAAGCGCAACAAATATTCCTGCGAGTCCTAGAAAGGTAGTAAGACTTGATCTTCGTCCAGCTTTTTGAATTGCAACAACTACGAGAAAATGGCATGGAATTTCCAAAGCCGCTGCGGCAAAGCAATTTAGATAGTTGCTTCCGCCCAAATTCGAAGTGTTGAGACCAAGTGCATAATAGCAGAGAAAAGTTACGTTCCTGGAAAGAAACAAAGATATAATGTACTGCACACATTGCAACGTGATTATTTTTAACAAAAACATGACATATTCAACTCAAAACTTAATTTTTTTCATCTTCTTAGCGTCTTTACTAAATGACAGATTACAATTTGAAATAAATTAACTATAGCTCTCAGTCAAATAATGTTAGGGTTTATTGTAATGAAAGTACGAAATGAACAACTTATTTGTATGAATCTACTTGTAGAAAGCCTACATAGCCCACCTATTTTCATAAATTTTGTTGAGCTGTTTTGGATTCATAGACAGTTGGATAAACTCATATCATGTATACCCATGTGTTAAAGTACATGATTTCAATGGATTGTGCTACGGGGTAGAAGGAAAGAATTTAAATGAATCAGAGAACAGATGTTTATTTGACGTTTACGAGGGACACGGAAAAGTATAATAGTTCTTACCAAACCCAACATATCATTATTGATCGTCTTCTCATCACGGAATTCTTTGCTAAAATTTGCACAGAACTTCTTCTCCTCTCACGCTGTTTGTTTGCATTGTTTTTGTCTTTTGTTTTTTCAAGAAGATTTTCTCCCTTGTAACGTTTTATAGAAAGAAAACAAATTAAAAATCATTTGACTTTCCTAAATACTGAATTAGATTTGCGGAAAATAATTTTAAATGGCAACGAGAATTTTGGCGATAAAGTTATCCCAAAGGTTGTATTTGGCAAAACGGACTGGTATCTTGTGCATCGGAACACCAGAATGGAATGATATTTCAAAATGATGAAATTTTGTTGTAATGCTTCATGAATGTTTCTAGTCGAAAAGATATGATATGGCATAAACGTTAATTGACAGAAAGGATCGAGAACGCAGTGGAAACAGTGAATATTTCATCTGATTCTAATTGCACAAGCAACATGAGCAAACAAGTGAGAATGAACATGCCCTCACTGTTGCTATCATGTTACACAGCATGGTGATGATTATAAATTACTTACCAATTCCACGTTGTTTGTGTTTAGGTCTTGCAATACCGTTTGATCTACTCCGTTTATTACTGCAATTCGTTTTAATACTTTAATTGCTTCATCAATCCGTCCTTGTGAAGCAAGCCACCTCGGCGATTCTGGAAGGAGGCTGAGGTATAAACAAGCATAATTATAAGATATATATGTACGAATACAATCCAAGTTAAAAAAAAAAAAAAACCAAGTGTTATAATCCTAATTAAAAATAATTTTACTTGTATTGCTTAACATAACAAAGGCATCCATTTATTTTGTGCTGTAATTTAATGCACTGAATTACTATACAAAAACAGGGAAAGGAAACGGCAAAATTCACATTCTCGCGATATATTTGGATAATTTGGTCACTTGAGATGGTTAAAGGCTGTGCGTCACGCAGATCTAATATGGAACTGGTTACATGTCACTATGCGACCTTCAAAATACAACAGGAATTTTAAACAGATATTACTTTAACCTTAATATATTAACGAGTCTGTTCCTGGAAGTTCAACGGTATCTAGAGAGAAGAAGAAGAAGTTTCGTCACAAAAAAGATAACAAATTACTCACAAAATGTACGGAAGAAAAAAAGCACTGCCAAGACCAAGGGATCTTATAATCCAACGCCAATCTTTGAAAATGTATGCAACTGCTGGCAGAAGCATGTATCCAATAGCATATATAACGTTAATCATACAGGCGACAAGGGCTCGGTGTTTTCTGTCAACGAGTTCTTGCGCTGCCAAAGAGTGAAATATAATTAAATAAATTGAAGAATATAATTAAAGAATATCATCATTACTTTCATTGAAATGAACACAGGAGACACATTGTTACGATAGATTAAACTAGTAATATTAAACAATGAAATAAACAAACTCTATGATATGGTAAATATTGTTCACAAGCAACGACATAGGGAAATTGCAAAAGTCTCCGAAAACTCTTAACTGCATGCCCAAACTGCATTTTCATCAATGTATTGAAAATTTCATAAATAATATGAACGTTAGCATGCGGAATTTTTGCCGCAATATTATGAAATGTTGTCTTAAATCACATTCTATGCTAAAATTACGACAAATATTATCGAAGATTTGATCAAAAACGTTTCTTATGTAGTTCGTTGCAAAAAAATTAGCGAGGATTTTTTAAAGAAATTTTTACCGTAAGTTATTGAATCCAATTATGGTAAACGTTGTTAAAATCTACTTAAAACAATAAATAATGAATTGTGTGTTAATCCAGTATTCAAGAATGAAACACGGATAACTAGTTACGGTTGTTCACATGTATTCTGTTTGACGCGATTCGCCCAATTTGACTTTGGTCTCGTAGCGTTTTATTAAATATCTCTGACCGATTGAGGTATATAATTATGAAATCTGCACTAACACAAAACAAGGTCCCATTTTTCCAAACTGCTAATTTTCTGTAAATTTAATTACACATTCAGCAGAATGTTCGTGTATAAATATATATTTACCTATAAACAAGCGAACATACAGAACTAGACAGGCTAAGTATTTGAGGCAACGTTCACTGTAACAGTTAAACCATATTCATAATCTTTAGCACGGAAATGAAAATACACATTTACTCACCTAACACGAACGTACAAGAATACCAAATTATATGACTTGTCCCAATAGCAATTATCATAACCAATAAAGCTTCGTAAGATGAAATGAAGCTGAATCCAATCACCGAGACTGTGTTTAATACCATGTTAACGAGACACGTAGTTCTTCTTCCAAACCTGTGTATTTAAATTTTAATTCACAATAGGAGGCATATATATATACCATATTATTTACGGCCATATAAATATCTTTATGAAATCCCAGTTACTTGAAACGCGAGTATATTTAATGCATAGATATGATAGCAATATATCTCAATCCACACTGAAAAATATTAACCGACCTACGACATCCATGTCATTACTAGAAAATATAGCTATTTGTACTTTTATTCACAACGTTATATAATGCCGTTCAACTTTTGTTTATCTGTAATATTTACCTATCAGTTATAGGTCCTGATATGATGCTTCCAAGGAACAATCCGATCATCAAACCCGATGTAAGTAATGGTTTCTTCCAAGCATCATCGCACACCAGATTGTACTGAAAATCATACAAATACTATGGAAAACTAGTGATATTAATAAGGATTTTTTGAAAAATAAATTACCATACAGATATTTTATTTTAATTTTCTAAATATTTGATTCTGCTGTAATATCACGAGCAAAACACGTAACACTCGACCGAATTATGTGGTGATCACAAGTCACAACAAATAGTGCGCCAAAGAGTTTTGGTATTTTTACAATTTTATCTGATAGATTAATATATGAAAGATACCTCGGTGGTAGCACTGGTTCTACCTTCTGGGTCCATGTAAATCCAACCATCGAGACATTTTTCCATTGATCTGGTAGTGTTGGTCTGTTGATACACAGGTGTAGTCGTTGTGTTAACATTCCAATATGATGTTGATTCGGTGATTACAAACCTTTTAAAATGACCGAAAGTTAGTGAAAAATTGTAGTTGAGACTTGTAATAATTGTAAGACTTTGCAAATACGTTCTGTGATCAGTTTGTATATTGCTGCTTTGAAAATATTCCTAATGTCAAAATACAGATACCTTAATATCCGCGTGAAAATGTATGTCAGAAAATACAACTAAGTGTTAAGCGGACGTCGTACCTCTCATATTTGACCACCGAACTGACCACCAATACTATATGGTTATGGAACTTTGAATTTGATCGAATTTCAACCCCCACATAGAAATGGAAATCCATTTTGGCATTAAAACAAATATGTACGCCAGGGTGGTCCGATTTTTTTGAGTAGGCCCAACGGGTCGCAGTCGGGGTAGAGCCAAATGTGATCAAAATACTGCGATTTTACCGTCCAAATCAGCTTATTGTTATGTTGTATGGGTGGCGCTTTTGACACGAATTGGAACTATGGATCGTTTTATTCTGCTTGTTGTTGCCTCGTGAAAAAATCGCGTTTCTCATTCACTACTGGGCCAATTGCTTTGAAATTCTCGGGGATGAAGATTGCTGTTGTCTCTAGTCAAGAAGGCTATTACTTTTGTATAATTCTTAAATTCCCTATGAAATTTCATTCCAAATTTCACTGAATTATTTTTTATTCAGAAGAACACGGTTTTTAATCCGGCAAGCGTGGCGGCGGTTTCCAATTTGACGCGGCATTACGCGAAACGCTGAGATTATTTGATATCGGTACCGGAATCGACATACCTGTACTACTCCGTGTCCATATATTTGAGCATTGCTCTCTTGTTTATTGTAAGAAAGATATTTAGAACACAAACAAAATACCAAAACATTGCGTTTGGTTACTGCTTCATATTTGCGTTTCGTCCCTGCCGTCACATGGGCCACGCTTGAAAATAGAGAACATAACGTCTCTCCAGACAAGGAGTTCGGGGCGACTTAAAAGTGCGAAGTTGAGACAAAATGCGTAAAACATCGGGCCCTCAATTCATTATGCTTACCCCAGTACTTTTCCTTCTTCTCCGCGCAATTTTTCACTTGTCGTCGTATGATTATTTATAAAAAAAAAAAATGGCCGACACGTGATCTTACGTATCAAAGGACGTCATTCCCATATCGGCACTGCCTTGACGCATGCGACCTGCGTGCCGGGGTTTGGACCACCCTGATGTACGCTATCGAATTTTCATTTTTACGATAGCGACAATAAATTAGAAGTTAAAAAATTAAACCAAGCCATATTTTTTTTAAATCAAATCTATTGTTCAATATCAAATATAGTTCAATATTCCCTAATATTAATTGGTGGACAGAAATAAACGAAAATAAAGAGCTAGAAAACCGACACATGAATATGGATATTTGTAACAAAGGGTAGACAAAGTAATATGGCAAGTATCTGCTTTATGTGGTACTATTAATTCTACCAATCATAAAAGTGTACTCACTAAATGTGCAAATATTGATTTGGTTGACTTATTATAGCAAGTCAAAATAATAAATGCCTTTCCAGTCTTTCTCAGTTGAAGAAATGGAAATGTGAATTTTGGGATTGGGTTCAATTTCAAAAACGATAAATTTGACAGCACCAAAATTGGTAGTAAAAGTAGAAAATAAAAATACTAAAAAGTAGCGGTATTCCATATTCAACGGAAGGGACAATGTCATTAACCATTCACGTTCCACAGGATCTGCAAAAGCCTATATATAGTTTAGCAGATAAATAGTCTAAGTGAGTCAATTTCATTGCGAAAATCAAGAAATGTGAAATGAAGCAAAATGCAATTCGCTTGTAGCAGAAGACAAATAAAATGGTTTAGAATACTACGCAACCTCGAACAGCGGGCAAACTCCGATTTTCCATTTTCGGATAGGTTATATGGTATGTAAGACTCCAGCACTGTGTGATTGATTTCGACGGTAGCATTTCCTGCCACCTATGAATGAAATTTCCGTTATTGCCTGATTATATATGTTCGTTGTAATGATTTGGATTTGATCTTATCAACATTCCCCACCTCACTAGTTATAACTACACAGAAAATATTGTTGCAAATTTGTCTAATTTTAAGAAAGATCTAAATAAACTATTCGATTAAATTATTGGAAGCTTTTCTTGGAGGATTTCCCAGAGTTGCTTTTAAAACATGAAATTTATTCTTCGGCACAGCATACATCATACGCGGTTATATAATATGAAAAAACTTTGTTGATGGGTAGAAAAATGGGCCTGCAACCTTCGATGTCGGATATTATTTGCAAATAAACTAGCCCCGATACAAGTTACTTGAGCAACGAGCCGAGGAATCGGAGAGTATTATCAAATTCAACTGTCAATAGCAGTCAATCTGAGAAAGTTAAAATATTAATCGCGGGTTTGAGCAGCAATTCTGATCATACTCCGACGCGTGGTTATTTTCCATTTTGAACGAGAATAACACGAATACAATTCCGATCCCAACATATTCTCTACCGAATATATGGAGTTAATGATAGAGATATTGCGATGTGCGTAAGTAGATGGTATAGTAGTGCGATAAATAGGCAGTGCTGAAAAGTGTACACTGCTGTGCGTCATTTGTGTTTTTATGCCATTTCGTACTTTGGTACTTACACTGTCGTCAGCAAATATACTGTTGAGACAATAAGCATTGCACAGTAAAGCTGTAATTTGTGATACAAATAACATATGCGGGGCCTATCATTGCGTGAAATATAATAAATTTTAGTGTTTCTACTATACACGGGCTCGGGGCGATTCGCTTGGTTAACGATAAATCTGGTGGTTACAAGCTATAAGTAAGTAAAACGATACAAACAGATCATTGAAGAGATTTAATTTTGCATCCGAAATGTGCGCCGTGTCGCCAGTTTGCAACTATTTCATCGAATAAACAATCTAATAATGAAGCGGAAATTTACAGCAATTGTTGGCTGTATATTTCCAAATCATGGAACGGAGTGAGAAAAAATCGAAAGCCATTTCCCACAAAGACATTTTCTGAATTTATAAAACTACGAAGTCGTTGGACATGAATGTTTTGTTTTCAATCGACTCATTCGCTTACAAATTTCAGCCATTGCCATTTATTGCGAGGCTATTTTCTATTTTTCACTTTTCCGAGATAATAAAATAATATAAAACGCATACCGTGTCTACTCCATTTATGAAGCATCTGTGCGGAGGGGTTTGGTAGGTGAAAACCGGTGTGAAAACGAAAAATCCGAGGGGAACAAACATCAAACATATTAGAGGCACGGCTATTTTTTGATATCTTCCCCAACCACCGACTTTTTCCAAAACACTTTCAAAATTAGATCCCATTGTAGTAGAGCCCGGTCCGAAACCACTGCAGCAACACGGCAATATCACCTAATTTAATCGGCACCTGCAAATGATACGGCTATATTAGCAATTTAAAAACTTTCGAAACAAACGTAAGCAAAATGACCTAGTCACAAACTTTAACCAAAAAATAAATTGATGTATTCAAATGTGTGAGCGCTGTGAATTAGCACTGCTTCATGTTTTGGCAGCGAATCGCGTAGTCTGGCGTTCTTTTATTAAATATTGGTTTAATTAATACTCAACTAGTCACGTTGAAAGGCTCGACTTCGTCTGGGCATATCAACTTTGAAATAAATATACTAGGCAAAAGTACGTTGCGAACTTGTTAGCATTTGGTTGCCTTGACGCAGACCAATGCAAATTTCATATTAATTGGAGAATCTCATTTAATCCCATTTCTTTAATCATGCGTATTCCAGATATTAATAAACAATGTCGTGAAAGACCGAAGTCGGAGTAAACGATAATTTTGGTAGTCAACAACGAGAACCGTTGGCCCATGTTGGTACATCTGGAAAATCAAGTATTGACAGCATTTGTACAATGAGGTACATCATCAAATCATTGCCAGATAGTCATAAGTAGAGTCCTATATAGAATTCGATAAACATTATTCTGTTGTACACAACTACGCATGACATTTTGCATACGAAGTATACCAATATTAACGTACTTTTTATATGCACTAAAAGTCATTCGGGAATCTCATAAGCTCACTGATATCAGGAATGTAACGTCTGCGTTTGACCGACCTATTCTGTAAAGTTCCAAGCATGGACAGATATATAAACAATCGATAGGGAAATAATTCACAAGAACGTAGAATGAATCTCTTTTCCATACGCGACTTCCGCGTCACGCTTACTGACTATTATGCTCTACTGAGTTGCGTCAGATGTTGATCAATTGACGTTAAAGATGAATCCATCATATTCGACCCTAGATATGGAAAGTCCGACCACCCAACTCCATTCTAAAACCTTTTCAGAGGCACATTGCCAATGTCTGGAAATTCATACCCAATAGTGGTATTAATAATAATAACCCAGGCATAGAGTAATGTTACTTAAAATGACTCTCGCAATAAACGAATGCGCCATGCTCTACATTTTCCATTATTGCGAACTGGCCAATTTTCGTGATGCCTTTCATACAAGCAATCTTATGCCGCGAGAGGTTATTGCGACAGTATTATTATACACACAACAGCACATCGATGATGTCGAGATTCGTTTTGTGTGTTCAAATCGTGAGAAATGACAATTAGATGACGCGTTAAATCTATGATAACGCCAAGACACATAGATACGATGAATCTCAATGAAACCACGACCATTTTTCTGCGGTCATAGATACAGAGTCGAGAAAATAATGATTGAATAGAGTCGCGAAAAAGTAAGTACACTATTTTCTTTATTCCACAGGTAAATATCTATTGACTATAAATTAGCACTCGGGTAAGGCCTCTGACACGTTCTTTGCAATTACAAGTACCTAAATATTCAATAAACAGTTCTATATTACAGCTACGTTTCCCGTCGTCGACTGAAATTCTAATATCGTAGCTGTATGATCTCTTATGTCCTACGACTACGTGAAAAAGTTCATCAAATACTCACACTATTGTTCAAGCTGTGTGCAATGTCGCAGACGATACACTTCGACAGTGGTTCATGAATGAGCGTCACTTCGATATCGGCTATGTCGACAAACTTAGTTCAAGAAGCGAGCTTATCCTTGCGCACTTACGTCGGTTATTTATATTGACAGTTGACACTCGAGGTGTCATGTGTGTGTGTGGTATGGAAATATAGGGCGCTTTGAAGAATTTAAGTCTTTTGCGTCAGACAATTTAAATCAAAATTTTGTATATGCCTATTGTATGATGGCCCATCGTTGTCACGCTTAAAAATTGAAAAAATAAAAATAAAAAACTTAAAACAAAGGTAAGATAAAAAAAATAGTTGTGAAAAAACATAAAAAAAAATAAATAAATAAATAAAATGAAAATAAAAAATTAAAAATAAAAACGAAAATAAATTAAAAACGAAATTATGAAAAAAAAAAATTGAAAAAAAAAACGTGAATAAAAAAAAAATACAAATGTTGACAACGATGGGCCGCCTCGTGGCCCATCGTTGTCAAGCGTTTTTATTTTAAGAAAATTTGCTTCGGCTTGGGACCAACGTTGTCATGCATAATCCTACGCGCACAAACGGTGTTCCCCTGGGTTTGTCATTGACATGGTGGTCAATATAATATATTTTGAAATATCGCAGACATCGATCCAAAGTACTCAAGCTCCAACCATATCACGCATTGTCTCTTCTTAGAAAATTAGGCATTTCTTGTCTTTTTAATCCGTCTTTAACGTAACTCTTCATCGCAGCTTCCAACTGCCCATCATGTTACCACTCGTCAGACATTTTTAGATATGATCTCAAATGTACCGGCACCGGTATATCTGTAAGTCTTTTAAATAAACAATCGACATGTTATTAAAGTAGTATATTCACTCTTGATATGAAACCATTAGGCCTTGGACGTTGCCATAATATTCAAGCCTGTTTGTTGTCTACTTAAAATTATCATATCAGACATGCAGACATGTAACACAAGAGTGAGTTTGTTGGTTAATTTGAATATTGATGTTCAAACATTCAACTATTACGGTACTTGCATTTATTTATCTAACTTATAATTTATTTATCCCCAAAAATTTATTTTGAAGTTAGGTTTAAGGAGCACCATTATCAGCAAAAAAGTTTGACGCGCCATTGGCTGTACCGGTACCGTAGACCCTCATGACAATTACAATAACCGGTACCATGCTGGTAATTAATATCGCGCACAACCTGTAACTGGCTGCGCTCAATCCATCCCTCGATTCACTATATTCTACTAGATAGACTATCCGTATCTCCCATTCGTTTCATGAGCGATTGCATGGGTACAGGTACGGTCAGACAGTACCGATATCGCAAGAGTGTTCGGACAGCTGAGCAGCATTCTCCAATAAATTACCTTCTACACGTATAAACAAATTTCCCGAATTTTCGTACTCAATTCTATATTCTCTTATCATTATTATAAATATATTACTTCTAGTTGAACTTGTAGCATGGAGAATTTATAGAACATTTTCGTTTTGAATTTATCGAATATTGCTCAAGAAAATCAGTAGTGAGTTAGAAACCTAGAAAACACCGTTTGTGCGCGTAGGATTATGCATGACAACGTCGGTCCCAAGACGAAGAAAATTTTCTCAAAATAAAAACGCGTGACAACGATGGGCCACGAGGCGGCCCATCGTTGTCAATCTTTGTATTTTTTTTTTTATTCACGTTTTTTTTTTTTTAATTTTTTTTTTTTTCGTTTTTATTTTAAATAATTTTTTATTTTCATTTTTTTTTATGTTTTTCACAACTATTTTTTATTTCAATTTTAAGCGTGACAACGATGGGCCACCATACTATAGTACTCTCTTGGTAGATTTCACAAAATCAGCAAGAGCAGGGAAAATGCTAGGGTCGCGTAAGATAGCTTTGAGTTGAAAATCAATGCCATAATCGCGGCATTTCATCTTTAGTATGCGTCTTTCAGTTCTATATGCACGACAGTTCATTAGAAAATGTTATACTGTCTCTGGAACATTACAGAAATCGCAAAGTCCATTATTATGGCATCCTATTTTATGGAGGTGCCCATTTACGGCAATGTCCCGTCTGAAGTCGAAATAAAATTTTGTCCATTATTCGTGGTGACCAAGTGGAATTCTAGATGATGTCTTCAATTGAGAGGACTCGAGGTATCATGCAAAAGTCCTCAGAAAATTTTGAAAATCGAGATTCAAGCGACCGAATAGGAACTTCAACTATATTCTTCTTGATGAGTCTAATATATTCACCAGCTTATTTCTTGAGATCATGCACACCATGGCCTATTATTCTCTGATAAATTGTCCTACCAGAATAACCTCAAGCTCTGCTATTTATACAGTCTATATGGACAAATGTTTACAATGAAAAATAAACAGTACTGTTTTGGTGGAATGTATTTCTGATCATCTGTCAATTGTCTAGCTAGTGCCCTCCCCAAGAAAAGCAAATTGAAACACTCCATCGCCAGTTTAGTCCATCCAACTTCAATACTTTGATGAATAAATTGAAGTACCGGTATAGCCTATTTATATCGAGCAAAGGCTTATTTTGAATCAATTTTTCTTCTGTATTTTTTATTGAAATACCCCTTGCAACGACGTGAAACTACGCAAAAACGTTGAGTTCTGACAGCTGCACACGCTGCCGGAATAATAATTTCGAAAATGTAAGTAAAATTTCTTGGCTCCAATTCCGCACTTTTATCGCCAAGTTTGTACCTACACCAAAGTCATAATATATCAACAGGAATGTTTATCCGAGATATCAGAGAGCTGTTTTGAGCAAGAAAAATCATGAAACATAGCTCACTAGCCTACTACAATCCAAAACCAATTCGATCAAGGCAGCCTTCGACAAAAGGAGTGTGTTGCGATAATTGAGTGTAATTTGCCTCATGTTAGTTTACTCTTTTCTCACCTACTTAATAGACTTACCCCAATTAAACTTGCCAAAAACTGATGTTTTTTAAACCATCTATTCATGGTATGTTTCAGTTTCCGAAAGTTCAACGCGCCTCAAGCCCTTCCTTTCGTGAAGAAAACAATCTAGCCATTCTCTTACAGTAACAGATACTAAGTTCAGTGGCCCATATTCAGACAAATTTGATAATTGACAACTTTTTCAGTTAGATAAGAAATGGTGAGAGAGATAAATTAAATAATATTTAAATCAATGTACGCAGTGCCGACTGCCGAGAGCTCATAGTTTAATTTGTGTTCGGTAAAGCCAAATCAAATATACTTGCTAAAATCTTCAAACAGCGACAAAGACATCGTACTATCTTTTTAGTGCCTTCGAATATGAAAATCTTTGCCAAGTGGATATAGATAGCTGCTTGTCCAGGAGCAGAATGCGATGCGTAATTTTTAAACATTTATCTCTACAGCTTTGCTTTGTTCATCTTCAAAGTCATGTATGACGTCATCGTATTCGTCACCTTTGGTCAAAGCAGCTTGACTCTCATTGCGGTTCTTTTTTCGTGAAGACAAAAATAATCTGGAAAATCGTATCGCATTTTGTACAAATTAATTTCCTCTTAATATTTGATGTGACAACTAAAACTAAACGACAATACTTATTTTTTATAACTTTATCAAATAAGCAAAAACAAGCACCGTTTTCGGGATATTTCGATTTATGAATATATTTCTGGAAAGAGCTAAATCTAGTGTCGGTTTATTAAAAACTTGAGTACTATTTTAATAATTATATAAACTATGCCATAAAAGTCGGGTCAAATTAATTCTAATGTCATGTATGGACGACTTTCTGACTGGAATAGAAATTCAATCTCACAATTTAGACACATAGTATGGGTTCTGCTTATGATATCTTATATACAGTACACCCACCTAAATTTTTCCAAATCAATTGCATCCTTCATGGTGTCGGGTAGAGGAGATTGTTTTGTTTCTGGTAACAATAAACAGAGTCCAGCAGTTGATATTCCCAACGCCGCCATAACATAAAAAGGTATATTCCTTCTACCATTTTCCCCTGGAAAATATTGCTAAGTTACAACATGCATTTCTTATTAAATCTTCAATCGCACTATAGTTATTTATTTTAAATATGTATTCAATTATCGTGGAAGCAACAACTGCGCACAGCAATAATTTTCATCCTAAAATGGCGGAGAACAAAAGAAAATAACATGGTAATTCTGTTGGGTTAAGTCAGCGGTTCTAGAAACACAATCTGCAGCTCATGCTTTTCTACATTCAACACGAGTAAGTAGATATTCAAATATTTTATGAAGATAACTTCATAGGAAACATAAATAAAGGAACGCGCATTCACTCCCAGGGGGTCACGAGAAGATTTTCAGGGTTCTTGGATGGCAGTTGAGTTCATAATTTCACGGGGGATCATGTTGATTATTTCATGACTCGGGAGTACTTAACAGGAAAAAGGATGAGAACCCCTGCACTAGACGAAAAACCTCTCAGGGTGCTCATTACTTTAGTTAATTATTCATTCAATTGAATGTTCCACCTGCAAATACAAGGAATGGAGCACAGATACTGCCAAACCGTGACGTCATTGATGCGATTCCGATGCCAGTGTTTCGAAGAAGAGTAGGATACAGTTCAGATGTGTATAAATACAGAATTCCCATTGCCGACGAAGCAAAAAATTTACCCAACATGGCAAACGTTATAGAGACTCCTTCAACTGTAAAAAGATCGCAATTTTGAAGTCATCGAAAGTATGCTTGAAATTTATTAATAAGTTACAAGCAATTTAAGTACAATATTTGAGTACACAAGGATACAAATCCAATATTATTGAACTTACAATTTTGAAATGCAGGCGATAGCGCAACAAATATTCCTGCGAGTCCTAGAAAGGTAGTAAGACTTGATCTTCGTCCAGCTTTCTGAATTGCAACAACTACGAGAAAATGGCATGGAATTTCCAAAGCCGCTGCGGCAAAGCAATTTAGATAGTTGCTTCCGCCCAAATTCGAAGTGTTGAGACCAAGTGCATAATAGCAGAGAAAGGTTACGTTCCTGGAAAGAAACAAAGATATGATGTACTACACACATTGCAACGTGATTATTTTTACCAAAAACATGACATATTCAACTCGAAACTTAATTTTTTCATCTTCTCAGCGTCTTTGCTAAATGACAGATTACAATTTAAAATCATAAGTGTAAACATCAAAAACTAACAGATAAAGTAACTATAGCTATCAGTCAAATATTGTTATGGTTTATTGTAATGAAAGTATGAAATGAACAACTTATTTGTATGAATCTACTTGTAGAATGCCTACATAGCCCACCTATTTTCATAAATTAATTTCGTTGAGCTGTTTTGGATTCATAGACAGTGGGATGAACTCATATTATACCCATGTGTTAAAGTATATAATTTCAATGGACTGTGCTACGGGGTAGAAAGAAAGAGTTTATATAAATCAGAAGACAGATGTTTAGTTGACGTTTACGATTGACACGAAAAAGTATAATAGTTTTTACCAAACCCAACATATCATTACTGATCGTCTTCTCATCACGGAATTCTTTGCTAAAACTTGCACAGAACTTCTTCTCCGCTCACGCTGTTTGTTTGCATTGTTTTTGTCTTTTGTTTTTTCAAGAAGATTTTCTCCCTTGTAACGTTGTATAGAAAGAAAACAAATTAAAAATCATTTGACTTTCTTGAATACTGAATTGGGAGAAAAATCTTAAGTGGCAACGGAAATTTTTGCGATAAATGTATCCGAAAGGTTTTATTGGTCAAAACGGACTGGAATGTTGTGCATCGGAACACCAGAATGATATGAAATTCCAAAATGATGAAATTTTGTTTAATGCTTCATGAATGTTTCTAGTCGAAAAGATATGATATGACATAAACGTTAATTGACAGAAAGGATCGAGAACGCAGTGGAAACAGTGAATATTTCATCTGATTCTAATTGCACAAGCAACATGAGCAAACAAGTGAGAATGAACATGCCCTCACTGTTGCTATCATGTTACACAACATGGTGATGATTATAAATTACTTACCAGTTCCATGTTGTTTGTGTTTAGGTCTTGCAATACCGTTTGATCTACTCCGTTTATTACTGCAATTTGTTTTAATACTTTAATTGCTTCATCAATCCGTCCTTGTGAAGCAAGCCACCTCGGCGATTCCGGAAGGAGGCTGAGGTATAAACAAGCATGATTATGAGATATCTATACGAATACAATCCAAGTTTGAAAAAAAACTAAGTGTTATAATCCTAATTAAAAATAATTTTACTTGTATTGCTTAACATAACAAAGGCATCCATTTATTTTGTGCTGTAATTTAATGCATTGAATTACTATACAAAAACAGGGAAAGGAAACGGCAAAATTCACATTCTCGCGATTTATTTGGATAATTTGGTCACTTGAGATGGTTAAAGGCTGTGCGTCACGCAGATCTAATATGGAACTGGTTACATGTCACTATGCGACCTTCAAAATACACCAGGAAGTTTAAACAGATATTACTTTAACCTTAATATATTAACGAGTCTGTTCCTGGAAGTTCAACGGTATCTAGAGAGAAGAAGAAGAAGTTTCGTCACAAAAAAGATAACAAATTACTCACAAAATGTACGGAAGAAAAAATGCACTGCCAAGACCAAGGGATCTTATAATCCAACGCCAATCTTTGAAAATGTATGCAACTGCTGGCAGAAGCATGTATCCAATAGCATATATGACGTTAATCATACAGGCGACAAGGGCTCGGTGTTTTCTGTCAACGAGTTCTTGCGCTGCCAAAGAGTGAAATATAATTAAATAAATTGAAGAATATAATTAAAGAATATCATCATTACTTTCATTGAAATGAACACAGGAGACACATTGTTACGATAGATTAAGCTAGTAATATTAAACAATGAAATAAACAAACTCTATGATATGGTAAATATTGTTCACAAGCAACGACATAGGGAAATTGCAAAAGTCTCCGAAAACTCTTAACTGCATGCCCAAACTGCATTTTCATCAATGTATTGAAAATTTCATAAATAATATGAACGTTAGCATGCGGAATTTTTGCCGCAATATTATGAAATGTTGTCTTAAATCACATTCTATGCTAAAATTACGACAAATATTATCGAAGATTTGATCAAAAACGTTTCTTATGTAGTTCGTTGCAAAAAAATTGGCGAGGTTTTTTTAAAGAAATTTTTACCGTAAGTTATTGAATCTAATTATGGTAAACGTTGTTAAAATCTACTTAAAACAATAAATAATGAATTGTGTGTTAATCCAGTATTCAAGAATGAAACACGGATAACTAGTTACGGTTGTTCACATGTATTCTGTTTGACGCGATTCGCCCAATTTGACTTTGGTCTCGTAGCGTTTTATTAAATATCTCTGACCGATTGAGGTATATAATTATGAAATCTGCACTAACACAAAACAAGGTCCCATTTTTCCAAACTGCTAATTTTCTGTAAATTTAATTACACATTCAGCAGAATGTTCGTGTGTAAATATATATTTACCTATAAACAAGCGAACATACAGAACTAGACAGGCTAAGTATTTGAGGCAACGTTCACTGTAACAGTTAAACCATATTCATAATCTTTATACACATTTACTCACCTAACACGAACGTACAAGAATACCAAATTATATGACTTGTCCCAATAGCAATTATCATAACCAATAAAGCTTCGTAAGATGAAATGAAGCTGAATCCAATCACCGAGACTGTGTTTAATACCATGTTAACGAGACACGTAGTTCTTCTTCCAAACCTGTGTATTTAAATTTTAATTCACAATAGGAGGCATATATATATACCATATTATTTACGGCCATATAAATATCTTTATGAAATCCCAGTTACTTGAAACGCGAGTATATTTAAAGCATAGATATGATAGCAATATATCTCAATCCACACTGAAAAATATTAACCGACCTACGACATCCATGTCATTACTAGAAAATATAGCTATTTGTACTTTTATTCACAACGTTATATAATGCCGTTCAACTTCTGTTTATCTGTAATATTTACCTATCAGTTATAGGTCCTGATATGATGCTTCCAAGGAACAATCCGATCATCAAACCCGATGTAAGTAATGGTTTCTTCCAAGCATCATCGCACACCAGATTGTACTGAAAATCATACAAATACTATGGAAAACTGGTGATATTAATAAGGATTTTTTGAAAAATAAATTACCATACAGATATTTTATTTTAATTTTCTAAATATTTGATTCTGCTGTAATATCACGAGCAAAACACGTAATACTCGACCGAATTATGTGGTGATCACAAGTCACAACAAATAGTGCGCCAAAGAGTTTTGGTATTTTTACAATTTTATCTGATAGATTAATATATGAAAGATACCTCGGTGGTAGCACTGGTTCTACCTTCTGGGTCCATGTAAATCCAACCATCGAGGCATGTTTCCATTGTTCGGGTAGTGTTGGTCTGTTGATACACAGGTGTAGTCGTTGTGTTAACATTCCAATATGATGTTGATTCGGTGATTACAAACCTTTTAAAATGACCGAAAGTTAGTGAAAAATTGTAGTTGAGACTTGTAATAATTGTAAGACTTTGCAAATACGTTCTGTGATCAGTTTGTATATTGCTGGTTTGAAAATATTCCTAATGTCAAAATACAGATACCTTAATATCCGCGTGAAAATGTATGTCAGAAAATACAACTAAGTGTTAAGCGGACGTCGTACCTCTCATATTTGACCACCGAACTGACCACCAATACTGTATGGTTATGGAACTTTGAATTTGATCGAATTTCAACCCCCACATAGAAATGGAAATCAATTTTGGCATTAAAACAAATATGTACGCCAGGGTGGTCCGATTTTTTTGAGTAGGCCCAACGGGTCGCAGTCGGGGTAGAGCCAAATGTGATCAAAATACTGCGATTTTCCAAATCAGCTTATTGCTATGTTGTATGGGTGGCGCTTTTGACACGAATTGGAACTATGGATAGTTTTATTCTGCTTGTTGTTGCCTCGTGAAAAAATCGTTTTTCTCATTCACTACTGGGCCAATTGCTTTGAAATTCTCGGGGATGAAGATTGCTGTTGTCTCTAGTCAAGAAGGCCATTACTTTTGTATAATTCTTAAATTCCCTATGAAATTTCATTCCAAATCTCACTGAATTATTTTTTATTCAGAAGAACACGGTTTTTAATCCGGCAAGCGTGGCGGCGGTTTCCAATTTGACGCGGCATTACGCGAAACGCTGAGATTATTTGATATCGGTACCGGAATCGACATACCTGTACTACTCCGTGTCCATATATTTGAGCATTGCTCTCTTGTTTATTGTAAGAAAGATATTTAGAACACAAACAAAATACCAAAACATTGCGTTTGGTTACTGCTTCATATTTGCGTTTCGTCCCTGCCGTCACATGGGCCACGCTTGAGAATAGAGAACATAACGTCTCTCCAGACAAGGAGTTCGGCGCGACTTAAAAGTGCGAAGTTGAGACAAAATGCGTAAAACATCGGGCCCTGTTTGCACAAAACAATTCATTATGCTTACCCCAGTACTTTCCTTCTTCTCCGCGCAATTTTTCACTTGTCGTCGTATGATTATTTATAAAAAAAAAATGGCCGACACGTGATCTTACGTATCAAAGGACGTCATTCCCATATCGGCACTGCCTTGACGCATGCGACCTGCGTGCCGGGGTTTGGACCACCCTGATGTACGCTATCAATTTTTACGATAGCGACAATAAATTAGAAGTTAAAAAATTAAACCAAGCCATATTTTTTTTAAATCAAACACGTAATCTATTGTTCAATATCAAATATAGTTCAATATTCCCTAATATTAATTGGTGGACAGAAATAAACGAAATTGAAGAGCTAGAAAACCGACACATGAACATGGATATTTGTAACAAAGGGTAGAGAAAGTAATATGGCAAGTATCTGCTTTATGTGGTACTATTAATTCTACCAATCATAAAAGTGTACTCACTAAATGTGCAAATATTGATTTGGTTGACTTATTATAGCAAGTCAAAATAATAAATACCTTTCCAGTCTTTCTCAGTTGAAGAAATGGAAATGTGAATTTTGGGATTGGGTTCAATTTCAAAAACGATAAATTTGACAGCACCAAAATTGGTAGTAAAAGTAGAAAATAAAAATACTAAAAAGTAGCGGTATTCCATATTCAACGGAAGGGACAATGTCATTAACCATTCACGTTCCACAGGATCTGCAAAAGCCTATATATAGTTTAGCAGATAAATAGTCTAAGTGAGTCAATTTCATTGCGAAAATCAAGAAATATGAAATGGAGCAAAATGCAATTCGCTTGTAGCAGAAGACAAATAAAATGGTTTAGAATACTACGCAACCTCGAACAGCGGGCAAACTCCGATTTTCCATTTTCGGATAGGTTGTATGGTATGTAAGACTCCAGCACTGTGTGATTGATTTCGGCGGTAGCATTTCCAGCCACCTATGAATGAAATTTCCGTTATTGCCTGATTATATATGTTCGTTGTAATGATTTGGATTTGATCTTATTAACATTCCCCACCTCACTAGTTCTAACTACACAGAAAATATTGTAGTAAATTTGTCTAATTTTAAGAAAGATCAAAATAAACTATTCGATTAAATTATTGGAAGCTTTTCTTGGAGGATTTCCCAGAGTTCCTTTTAAAACATGAAATTTATTCTTTGGCACAGCATACATCATACGTGGTTATATAACTTTGAAAAAACTTTGTTGATGGGTAGAAAAATGGGCCTGCAACCTTCGATGTCGGATATTATTTGCAAATAAACTAGCCCCGATACAAGTTACTTGAGCAACGAGCCGAGGAATCGGAGAGTATTTCAAATTCAGCTGTCAATCTGAGAAAGTTAATCTGAAAATATTAATCGCGGGTTTGAGCAGCAATTCTGATCATACTCCGACGCGTGGGTATTTTCCATTTTGAACGAGAATAACACGAATACAATTCCGATCCCAACATCTTCTCTATCGAATTAGTGGAGTTAATGATAGAGATATTGCGATGTGCGTAAGTAGATGGTATAGTAGTGCGACAAATAGGCAGTTCTGAAAAGTGTACACTGCTGTGCGTCATTTGTCTTTTTATGCCATTTCGTACTCTGGTACTTACACTGTCGTCAGCAAATATACTGTCGAGACAATAAGCATTGCACAAAAAAGCTGTAATTTGTGATACAAATAACATACGCGGGGCCTATCATTGCGTGAAATATAATAAATTTTAGTGTTTCTACTATACACGGGCTCGGGGCGATTCGCTTGGTTAACGATAAATCTGGTGGTTACAAGCTATAAGTAAGTAAAACGATACAAACAGATCATTGAAGAGATTTAATTTTGCATCCGAAATGTGCGCCGTGTCGCCAGTTTGCAACTATTTCATCGAATAAACAATCTAATATTGAAGCGTAACATTACAGCAATTGTTGGCTGTATATTTTCAAATGATGGAACGAAGTGAGAAAAAATCGAAAGCCATTCCCCACAAAGACATTTTCTGAATTTATAAAACGACGAAGTCGTTGGACATGAATGTTTTGTTTTCAATCGACTCATTCGCTTACAAATTTCAGCCATTGCCATTTATTGCGAGGCTATTTTGTATTTTTCACTTTTCCGAGATAATAAAATAATATAAAACGCATACCGTGTCTACTCCATTTATGAAGCATCTGTGCGGAGGGGTTTGGTAGGTGAAACCGGTGTGAAAACGAAAAATCCGAGGGGAACAAACATCAAACATATTAGAGGCACGGCTATTTTTTGATATCTTCCCCAACAACCGACTTTTTCCAAAACACTTTCAAAATTAGATCCCATTGTAGTAGAGCCCGGTCCGAAACCACTGCAGCAACACGGCAATAGCACCTAATTTAATCGGCACCTGCAAATGATACGGCTATATTAGCAATTTAAAAACTTTCGAAACAAACGTAAGCAAAATGACCTAGTCACAAACTTTAACCGAAAAATAAATTGATGTATTCAAATGTGTGAGCGCTGTGAATTAGCACTGCTTCATGTTTTGGCAGCAAATCGCGTAGTCTGGCGTTCTTTTGTTAAATATTGGTTTAATTAATACTCAACTAGTCACGTTGAAAGGCTCGACTTCGTCTGGGCATATCAACTTTGAAATAAATATACTAGGCAAAAGTACGTTGCGAACTTGTTAGCATTTGGTTGCCTTGACGCAGACCAATGCAAATTTCATATTAATTGGAGAATCTCATTTAATCCCATTTCATTAACCGTGCGTATTCCAGTTATCAATAAACAATGTCGTAAAAGACCGAAGTCGGAGTAAACGATAATTTTGGTAGTCAACAACGAGAACCGTTGACCCATGTTGGTACATCTGGAAAATCAAGTATTTACAGCATTTGTACAATTAGGTACATCATCAAATGATTGCCAGATAGTCATATCATAGACGGTTCCATTACATTTGAACCCACGTACATTTGAACCCATGACAATTGTACCTGTATGCTATTGTACCTATGAATTTTTTTTTGTTTTACGGATAGTTGAACCCATACTAACCCTAACCCATGGGTTTTAGCACCCGCATATAGATTGAACCCGTGGATATACACATGGGTTCAAATGTACGTGGGTTCAAATGTACGGTCACCATCATAGACATAAGTAGTCCCAAAGAATTCGATAAACATTATTTTGTTGTACACAACTACGCATGACGTTTTGCATACGAAGTATACCAAGCTTAATCTACTTCTTATATGCACTAAAAGTCATTCGGGAATCTCATAAGCTCACTGATATCAGGAATGGAACGTCTGCGTTTGACCCACGTATTCTGTAAAGTCCCAAGCATGAACAGATATATAAAAAATCGATAGGGAAATAATTCACAAGAACGTCGAATGAATCTTTTTTCCATACGCGACTTTCCGCGACACGCTTACTGACGTTATGCTCTACTGAGTTGCGTCAGCTGTTGATCAATTGACGCTAAAAATGAATCCATCATATTCGACCCTAGATGTGAAAAGTCCGACCACCCAACTCCATTCTAAAACCTTTTCAGAGGCACATTGCCGATGTCTGGAAATTCATACCCAATAGTGGTATTAATAATAATAACCCAGAGATTTATTTAAAATCTAAATCAAACCACAACCATTTTTCTGCGGTCATAGATACAGAGTCGAGAAAATAATGATTAAATAGAGTCGCGAAAATAAGAAGTAAGTACACTATTTTCTTTATTCCACAGGTAAATATCTATTGGCTATAAATTAGCACTCGGGTTAGGCATCTGACATGTTCGTTGCAATTGCAAGTACCTAAATATTCAATAAACAGCTCTATATTACAGCTACGTTTCCCGTCGTCGACTGAAATTCTAATATCGTATCTGTATGATCTCCTATGTCCTACGACTACGTGAAAAAGTTCATCAAATACTCACACTATTGTTCAAGCTGTGTGCAATGTCGCAGACGCTGCACTTCTTTGTCGAGAGTGGTTCATGAATGAGCGTCACTTGGATATCGGCTATCTCGACAAACTTAGTTCAAGAAGCGAGCTTATCCTTGCGCACTTACGTCGGTTTTTTCTATTGACACTCGAGGTGTCATGTGTGTGTTGTATGGAAATATAGGGCGCTTCAAACAATTTAAGTCTTTTGCGCCAGACAATTTAAATCTAAATTTTGTATATGCCTATAGTACTCTCTTGGTAGATTTCACAAAATCAACAAGAGCAGGGAAAATGCTAGGGTCGCGTAAGATAGCTTTGAGTTGAAAATCAATGACATAATCGCGGCATTTCATCTTTAGTATGCGTCTTTCATTTCTATATGCACGACAGTTCATTAGAAAATGTTCTACTGTCTCTGGAACATTACAGAAATCGCAAAGTCCATTATTATGGCATCCTATTTTATGGAGGTGCCCATTTAAACGGCAATGTCCCGTCTGAAGTCGATATAAAATTTTGTCCATTATTCGTGGAATTATAGATGCTGTCTTCAATTGAGGGGACTCGAGGTATCATGCAAAAGTCCTTAGAAAATTTTGAAAATCGAGATTTAAACATCAACTATAATCTTCTTGATGAGTCTAATATATTTACCAGCTTATTTGTTGAGATTATGCACATCATGGCCTATTATTCTCTGATGAATGGTCCTACCAGAATAACCTCAAGCTTGCTATTTATACAGATCCTATATGGACAAATGTTTACAATAAAAAAGGAACAGTGATGTTTTGGTGGAATGTATTTCTGATCATCTGCCAATTGTCCAGTGTCCTCCCCAAGAAAAGCAAATTGAAAATAGAATTGAAACACTTCATCGCCAGTTTAGACCATCCAACTTAAATAATTTGGTGAATAAATTGAAGTCTATTTTTATCGAGCAAGGGCTTATTTTAAAATCAATTTTTCTTCTGTATTTTTTATTGAAATACCCCTTGCAACGAAGTGAAACTACGCAAAAACGTTCAGTTCTGACAGCTGCACACGCTGCCGGAATAATAATTTCGGAAATGTAAATAAAATTTCTTGCCTTCGATTTCACTTTTATCGCCAAGTTTGTACCTACACCAGAGTCATAATATATTAACAGAAATTTTTAGCCGAGATATCAGTGAGCCGTTTTGAGCAAGAAATATCATGAAACATAGCTCACTAGCCTACTACAATCCAAAACCAATTCGATCACGGCAGCCTTCGACAAAAGGAGTGTGTTGCGATAATTGAGTGTAATTTGCATCATGTTAGTTTACTCTTTTCTCACCTACTTAATAGACCTACCCCAATTAAACTTGTCAAAAACTGATGTTTTTTAAACCATCTATTCTTGGTATGTTTCAGTTTCCGAAAGTTCAACGCGCCTCAAGCCCTTCCTTTCGTCAGGAAAACAATCTTGCCATTCTCTTACAGTAACAGATACTAAGTTCAGTGGCCCATATTCAGACAAATTTGATACTTTGTCAATTAGATAAGAAATCGTGAGAGATAAATGAAATAATATTTAAATTAATGTACGCAGAGCCGACTGCCGAGAGCTCATAGTTTAATTTGTGTTCGGTAAAGCCAAATCAAATATACTTGCTAAAATCTTCAAATAGCGACAAAGACATCGTACTATCTTTTTAGTGCCTTCGAATATGAAAATCTTTGCCAAGTGGATATAGATAGCTGCTTGTGCAGGAGCAGAATGCGATGCGTAATTTTTAAACATTTATCTCTACAGCTTTGCTTTGTTCATCTTCAAAGTCATGTATGACGTCATCGTATTCGTCACCTTTGGTCAAAGCAGCTTGACTCTCATTGCGGTTCTTTTTTCGTGAAGACAAAAATAATCTGGAAAATCGTATCGCATTTTGTACAAATTAATTTCCTCTTAATATTTGATGTGACAACTAAAACTAAACGACAATACTTATTTTTTTATAACTTTATCAAATAAGCAAAAACAAGCATCGTTTTCGGAATATTTCGATTTATAAATATATTTCTGGAAAGAACTAAATCTAGTGTCGGTTTATTAAAAACTTGAGTACTATTTTAATAATTATATAAACTATGCCATAAAAGTCGGGTCAAATTAATTCTAATGTCATGTATGGACGACTTTCTGACTGGAATAGAAACTCAATCTCACAATTTAGACACATAGTATGGGTTCTGCTTATGATATCTTATATACAGTATACCCACCTAAATTTTTCCAAATCAATTGCATCCTTCATGGTGTCGGGTAGAGGAGATTGTTTTGTTTCTGGTAACAATAAACAGAGTCCAGCAGTTGATATTCCCAAAGCCGCCATAACATAAAAAGGTATATTCCTTCTACCATTTTCCCCTGGAAAATATTGCTAAGTTACAACATGCATTTCTTATTAAATCTTCAATCGCACTATAGTTATTTATTTTAAATATGTATTCAATTATCGTGGAAGCAACAACTGAGCACAGCAATAATTTTCATCCTAAAATGGCGGAGAACAAAAGAAAATAACATGGTAATTCTGTTGGGTTAAGTCAGCGGTTCTAGAAACACAATCTGCAGCTCATGCTTTTCTACATTCAACACGAGTAAGTAGATATTCAAATATTTTATGAAGATAACTTCATAGGAAACATAAATAAAGGAACGCGCATTCACCCCCAGGGGGTCACGAGAAGATTTTCAGGGTTCTTGAATGGCAGTTGAGTTTTCATAATTTCACGGGGGATCATGTTGATTATTTCATGACTCGGGAGTACTTAACAGGAAAAAGGATGAGAACCCCTGCACTAGACGAAAAACCTCTCAGGGTGCTCATTACTTTAGTTAATTTTTCATTCAATTGAATGTTCCACCTGCAAATACAAGGAATGGAGCACAGATACTGCCAAACCGTGACGTCATTGATGCGATTCCGATGCCAGTGTTTCGAAGAAGAGTAGGATACAGTTCAGATGTGTATAAATACAGAATTCCCATTGCCGACGAAGCAAAAAATTTACCCAACATGGCAAACGTTATAGAGACTCCTTCAACTGTAAAAAGATCGCAATTTTAAAGTCATCGAAAGTATGCTTGAAATTTATTAATAAGTTACAAGCAATTTAAGTACAATATTTAAGTACACAAGGATACAAATCCAATATTATTGAACTTACAATTTTGAAATGCAGGCGAAAGCGCAACAAATATTCCTGCGAGTCCTAGAAAGGTAGTAAGACTTGATCTTCGTCCAGCTTTCTGAATTGCAACAACTACGAGAAAATGGCATGGAATTTCCAAAGCCGCTGCGGCAAAGCAATTTAGATAGTTGCTTCCGCCCAAATTCGAGGTGTTGAGACCAAGTGCATAATAGCAGAGAAAGGTTACGTTCCTTGAAAGAAACAAAGATATGATGTACTACACACATTGCAACGTGATTATTTTTACCAAAAACATGACATATTCAACTCGAAACATTAATTTTTTCATCTTCTCAGCGTCTTTGCTAAATGACAGATTACAATTTAAAATCATAAGTGTAAACATCAAAAACTAACAGATAAAGTAACTATAGCTATCAGTCAAATATTGTTATGGTTTATTGTAATGAAAGTATGAAATGAACAACTTATTTGTATGAATCTACTTGTAGAAAGCCTACATAGCCCACCTATTTTCATAAATTAATTTCGTTGAGCTGTTTTGGATTCATAGACAGTGGGATGAACTCATATTATGTATACCCATGTGTTAAAGTACATAATTTCAATGGACTGTGCTACGGGGTAGAAAAAAAGAGTTTATATGAATCAGAAGACAGATGTTTAGTTGACGTTTACGATTGACACGAAAAAGTATAATAGTTTTTACCAAACCCAACATATCATTACTGATCGTCTTCTCATCACGGAATTCTTTGCTAAAACTTGCACAGAACTTCTTCTCCTCTCACGCTGTTTGTTTGCATTGTTTTTGTCTTTTGTTTTTTCAAGAAGATTTTCTCCCTTGTAACGTTGTATAGAAAGAAAACAAATTAAAAATCATTTGACTTTCTTGAATACTGAATTGGGAGAACAATCTTAAGTGGCAATGGGAATTTTTGCGATAAATGTATCCGAAAGGTTTTATTGGTCAAAACGGACTGGAATGTTGTGCATCGGAACACCAGAATGATATGAAATTTCAAAATGATGAAATTTTGTTTAATGCTTCATGAATGTTTCTAGTCGAAAAGATATGATATGACATAAACATAAACGTTAATTGACAGAAAGGATCGAGAACGCAGTGGAAACAGTGATTATTTCATCCGATTTTAATTGTACAAGCCACATGCATGAGCAAACAAGTGAGAATGAACATGCCCTCACTGTTGCTATCATGTTACACAACATGGTGATGATTATAAATTACTTACCAGTTCCATGTTGTTTGTGTTTAGGTCTTGCAATACCGTTTGATCTACTCCGTTTACTACTGCAATTTGTTTTAATACTTTAATTGCTTCATCAATCCGTCCCTGTGAAGCAAGCCACCTCGGCGATTCCGGAAGGAGGCTGAGGTATAAACAAGCATAATTATGAGATATCTGTACGAATACAATCCAAGTTTGAAAAAAACTAAGTGTTATAATCCTAATTAGGAATAATTTTACTTGTATTGCTTAACATAACGAAGGCATCCATTTATTTTGTGCTGTAATTTAATGCACTGAATTACAATACAAAAACAGGAAAAGGAAGCGCCAAAATTCATATTCTCGCGATATATTTGGTCACTTAAGATGATGAAATGCTGTGCGTCACGAAGATCTAATATGGAACTGGTTACATGTCACTATGCGATTTTCAAAATACACCAGAAATTTAAAACAGATAATCTTATAACTTATCTATATTAACGAGTCTGTTCCTGGAAGTTAAACGGTATCTAGAAAAAATAAGTTTTGTCACAAAGAAGTTAACAAATTACTCACAAAATGTACGGAAGAAAAATTGCACTGCCAAGACCAAGGGATCTTATAATCCAACGCCAATCTTTGAAAATGTATGCAACTGCTGGCAGAAGCATGTATCCAATTGCATATATAACGTTAATCATACAGGCGACAAGGGCTCGGTGTTTTCTGTCAACGAGTTCTTGCGCTGCCAAAAAGTGAAATATAATTAAATATATTGAAGAATATAATTAAAGAATATCATCATTACTTTCATTGAAATGAACATAGGAGACACATTGTTACGATAGATTAAACTAGTAATATTAAACAATGAATTAAACAAACCCTATGAAATGGTAAATATTGTTCACAAGCCACGTCATAGGGAAATTGCAAAAGCCTCCGAAAACCCTTAACTGCATTTTCAACAATGTATTGAAAATTTCATAAATAATATGAACGTTAGCATGCGGAATTTTTGCCGCAATATTATGAAATGTTGTCTTAAATCACATTCTATGCTAAAATTACAACAAATATTATCGAAGATTTGATCAAAAACGTTTCTTATGTAGTTCGTTGCAAAAAAATTGGCGAGTTTTTTTTAAAGAACTTTTCTCCGTGAGTTATTGAATCCAAATATGGTAAACGTTGTTAAAATCTACTTAAAACAATAAATAATGAATTGTGTGTTAATCCAGTATTCAAGAATGAAACACGGATAACTAGTTACGGTTGTTCACATGTATTCTGTTTGACGCGATTCGCCCAATTTAACTTTGGTCTCGTAGCGTTTTATTCAATATCACTGACCGATTGAGGTATATAATTATTAAATCTGCGCTAACACAAAACGAGGCCCCATTCTTCACAACTGCTTATTTTCTAAATTTAATTACACATTCAGGAGAATGTTCGTGTAATTTTCATTTACCTATAAACAAGCGAACATACAGAACATGACAGGCTAAGTATTAAAGGCAACGTTCACTGTCACGATTTAAACATATCCATAATCCTCAGCAAGGAAACGAAAATACACATTTACTCACCTAACACGAACGTACAAGAATACCAAATTATTTGGCTTGTCCCAATAGCAATTATCATAACCAATAAAGCTTCGTAAGATGAAATGAAGCTGAATCCAATCACCAAGACTATGTTTAATACCATGTTAACAAGACAAGTAGTTCTTCTTCCAAACCTGTGTATTTGAATTGTTATCTTTGTGATAATTATTCCAACAATTCGATACTTCTGCGACCACTTATTCGGTTTAATTGCCTTCTGTGGTATAATATTTTTAAAAATTAAAATTAATTCAAAATGGGAGGCATATACCATATTAATTACGGCCATATAAACATCTTTCAAAAATTTCAGTTACTTGGAACGCGAGTATATTTTATGCACAGATATGATGGCAATATATTTAATTCACACTAAAAAATATTACCCGACCTACGACACCCATGTCATTATTAGAAAATATAGCTATTTGCACTTAAGTTCATAACGTAATATAATGGTGTTCGACTTTAGTTCTGTTTCTCTGTAATATTAACCTATCGGTTATAGGTCCTGATATGATGCTTCCAAGGAACAATCCAATCATCAAACCCGATGTAAGTAATGGTTTCTTCCAAGCATCATCGCACACCAGATTGTACTGAAAATCATACAAATACTATGGAAAACTGGTAATATAACTAAGGATTTTTTGAAAATTAAATTACCACACAGATATTTTATTTCAATATTCTAAATATTTGATTCTGCTGTAATACCACGAGCAAAACACGTAACAGTCGACAGAATTATGTGGTTATCACAAGTCACAAAAAATAGTGCGCCCGGGAGTTTTGGTATTTCTACAATTTTATCTGATAGATTATTATAAGAAAGATACCTCGGTAGTGGCACTGGTTCTACCTTCTGAGTCCATGTAAATCCAGCCATCGAGACATGTTTCCATTGTTCGGATAGTGTTGGTCTGTTGATACACAGGTGTAGTTGTTGTGTTAACATACCAATATGATGTGGATTCGGTGATCACAAACCTTTTAAAATGACCAAAAGTTAGTGAGAAGTTATGAGACTTGTAATAACTGTAAGACTTTGCAAATACGTTCTGCGATCAGTTCGTAAGTGGCTGCTTTGAATATATTCTTAATGACAAAATAAAGATACGTTGATATCCGCGTGAAAAACTATGGAAGAAAATACAACCAACTGTAAAGCCGACGTCGTACTTCTCATATTTGACCACCTAACTGACCATCAATATGTATATCAACTGTATGGTTATGGAACTTTGAATTCGATCGAATTTCAACCCCCATATAAAAAAAATGGAAATCCATTTTGGCATTAAAACAAATATGTACGCCAGGGTGGTCCGAGGTAGCGATTGAAAAAGCGCAAAATTTTTTGAGTAGGCCTCACGGGTCGCAGTCGGGGTAGAGCCAAATATGATCAAAATAGCGCGAGTTTAGTAACTTTGAATATATATAATAAAGAATGAGATTACCGTCCCAATCAGCTTATTGTTATGTTGTATGGGTGGCGCTTTTGACACGAATTGTAACTATGGATCGTTTTATTCTGCTTGTTGTTGCCTCGTGAAAAAATCGCGTTTCTCATTCACTACTGGGCCAATTGCTTTGAAATTCTCGGGGATGAAGATTGCTGTTGTCTCTAGTCAAGAAGGCTATTACTTTTGTAAAATTCTTAAATTACCCATGAAATTTCATTCCAAATTCCACTGAATTATTTTTTATTCATAAGAATACGGTTTTTACTCCGGCAAGCGTGGTGGCGGTTTCCAATTTGACGCGGCATTACGCGAAACGCTGAGTTTATTTGATATCGGTACCGGAACCGACATGTACTACTCCGTGTCCATATATTTGAGCATCGCTCTTTTGTTTATTGTAAGAAAGATATCTAAAGCACAAACAAAATAACAAAACATTACGTTTGGTTACTGCTTCATATTTGCGTTTCGTCCTCGCTGTCACATGGGCCACGCTTGACAATAGAGGCATGTTTTTACTAAAAACATAACGTCTTTCCAGACAAGGAGTTCGGCGCGACTTAAAGGTGCGAAGTTGAGACGAAATGCGCGTCTCATCGCATCGGGCCCTGTTTGCACAAAACAATTCATTATTCTTTCCCCAGTACTTCCTGTTCCCATATGGTCGACATTGACGCACTACATCCAGACTACTTTGATATTTCCTTTTTGTAGTTATCAATATTGAAAACAAGGCCTCACATTAATAAGATTTCGGGAAAGGTACCAATGCCTATAGTGTAAACCTCCTGACTCTGGTCTGGGTATTGATTGATGTTTGTTTTGCCAAAACTATTTTTGCCCGATGTGCTAACTTTATGATTATCCGGATTCTGAAGTATAAAATTAGCACTGATTAGGCATGACCGGTTAGCAATGAGCCAGTAGTGGAGTGGTCACATTCTTAGCGAGAATTATTTTGTTGCAGATATCTTATACCCAATGATCATATATGCTCATCGCTTGTACGGACTGATGAGAAACATTCTTTTAGGGGCGTAGTGGAAACAATTGACCCAGCATTATTGCGACATACTGACATAGCAATTGTTAGTGAATTGTTTGTCTGGTTGGCTGTTGTTTATTAATCGTAGGATATGTGTTTATATTGTAGAAATTTTATTACGGTCTTGTCTGTTTTTGTGTCACTTCTCTGCGGACCGGTGGTAACCTTTCCGCGGACCGGCGCTGGGCCGCGGCCCGGTGGTTGCCGACCGCTGTATTAAAGGACCCTTCGTGCCGGGGTTTGGACCACCCTGATGTACGCTATCAAATTTTATTTTTACGATAGCGACAATAAATTAGAAGTTAAAAAATTAAACCAAGCCATATTTTTTTAAATTAAACACGTTATTTATTGTTCAATATCAAATATAGTTCAATATTCCCTAATACTAATTGGTGGACAGAAGTAAACCAAAATAAAGAGCTAGAAAACCGACACATGTATATGGATATTTGTAACAAAGGGTTGACAAAGTAATATGGCAAGTATCTGCTTCACGTGGTACTATTAATTCTACTAATCACAAAAACTGAATGTGCAAATATTGATTTGGTTGGTCTCTTAATATAGCAGGTCAAAATAATAAGTACCTATCCATTCTTTCTCAGTTGAGAAAACGGAAATATAAACTTTGGGATTGGATTTCATTTTGTGACCCACTTAGAAATTTGAATACGATAAATTTGACAGCATGAAAAAATAAATAGTAGTAAAAATAGAAACTAAAAATACTGAAAAGTTGCATTGGACAATATCGTTACCCATTCACGTTCCACCGGATATGCGAGAGCTTATAGTTTAGCAGATAAATAGTCCAAGTTTGTAATTTTCATTGCGAAAATTACGAAATATGAAATGGAGCAAAATGCAGTACGCTTGTAGCAGAAAACAAATAAAATGGTTTAGAATACTACGCAACCTCGAACAGCGGGCAAATTCCGATTTTCCATTTTCGGATAAGTTGTATGGTATGTAAGACTCCAGCACTGTGTGATTGATTTCGGCGGTAGCATTTCCTGCCACCTATGAATGAAATTTCCGTTATTGCCTGATTATATATTATGTTTGTTGTTCATTCCGCCACTTCACTAGTTCTAACTACACTTAGAATATTGTAGCAAATTTGTCAAATTTTCAAAAAAGATCAAAATAAACCATTCGATTAAATTATTGGAAGCTTTTCTTGGAGAATTTCCCAGAGTTCCTTTTAAAACATGAAATTTATTCTTTGACACAGCATACATCATACGCGATTGTATTATAAAAAAAATATTGTCGACGGGCAAAATGGGCTTGCAACCTTCGATGTTCATAACGAATATTATTTGCAAATAAAGTAACCCCGATACAAGTTACGTGAGCAACAAGCCGAGGAATCGAAGAGTATTTCAAATTCAGCTGTCCAGAGCAGTCAATCTGAGAAAAATTAATTGCGGGTTTGAGCAGCAATTCAGATCAAACGCGTGATTCATTTTTTATTTTGAACGAGAGTTGCGTAAGCAGATGGTATAGTGCGATAAATAGACAGTGGTGAAAAGTGTACACTGCTGTGCATTATTTGTCTTTTTATGCCATTTCGTACTTTGGTACTTACACTGTCGTCAGCAAATATAATGTTGAGACAATAAGCATTGCACAGAAAAGCTGTATTTAGTGATACAATAAAACATACGCGGTACTCATCATTGCGTGAAATTTAAATAATTTTAGTGTTTCTACACACGTTAGTTGCTCAGGGCGCTTGGTTAATGATAAATCTGGTGGTTACAAGCTATAAGTAAGTAAAACGATATGAACAGATCATTGAAGAGATTTAATTTTGCATCCGAAGTGTTCGCTGTGTCGCCAGTTTGCAACTATTTTGTCGAATAAACAATCTAATATTGGAGCGTAACATTACAGCTATTAAGACATTTTCTGAATGTATAAAGCTACGAAGTTGTTGGACATGAATGTTTTTTCGACTTATTTGCTTTCAAATTTCAGAATTAACTTTTATTGCGAGACTATTCTATATTTTTCACATTTCTGAGTTAATAAAATAATATAAAACGCATACCGTGTCCACTCCATTTATGAAGCATCTGTGTGGAGGAGTTTGGTAGGTAAAAACCGGTGTGAAAACGAAAAATCCGAGAGGAACAAACATCAAACATATTAGGGGCACGGCTATTTTTTGATATCTTCCCCAACCACCGACTTTTTCCAAAACACTCTCAAAATTAGATCCCATTTTAGCATTCAGTCCGAAACCACTGCAGCAACACGACAAGATCACCTATTTTATTCGGCACCTGCAAATAATACGGCTATATCAGCAATTCACGAACTTCCGAAACAAACGACTACTTCAATTACTTTCGAGACTAATGACCTAGCCACAAACTGAAAGCAAAAAATAAATTGTTATATTCAAATATGTGAGCCCTGTGAATTGGTCCTGCTTCATGTTCTGGCAGCAAATCGCGTAGTCAAGTGTTCTTTTGTCAAATATTGGTTTAATACTCAACTAGTAACGATGAAATGATCGACTTCGTCCGGGACAATCAACTTTAAAATAAATATACTAGGAAATATACATCATCAAATCACATTTTGCATAGGAAGTATACCAAGTTTAATCTACTTCTTATATGCACTGAAAGTCACTCGGGAATCTCATAAGCCCACTGATATGCGATGAAGAATGTAACGTCTGCGTTTGACCGACGTATTCTGTAAAGTTCCAAGCATGACCAGATATATAAACAATCGCTAGGGAAATAATTTAGAAGAACGTAGAATGAATCTCTTTTCCATACGCGAATTTCCGCGTCACGCTTACTGACTACTATGCTCTACTGAGTTGCGTCAGCTGTTGATCAATTGACGTCAAAAATGAATTCATCATAATCGGCCCTGGACGTGGAAAACTCGATCTCGCAAACCTTTTCAGAGGCACATTGCCGATGTCTGGAAAATCATACCCAATAGTGGTATTAATAATAATAACCAAGGGATAGAGTAATGTTATGTAAAATTATTCTCGCAATCAACGTATGCGCCATGCTCTATATTTTCCATTATTGCGAACTGGACAATTTTCGTGATGCCTTTCATACAAGCAAACTTATGCCGCGAAAGGTTATTGTGACAATATTATTACACACACAACAGCACATCGATGATGTCGAGATTTGTTTTGTGTGTTCAAATCGTAAGAAACGACAAATAGATGACGCGTTAAATTTATGATAACGCCAATACACATAGATACGATGAATCTCAATCAAAACACGAACGTTTTTCAGCGGTCACAGATACAGAGTCGAGAAAATAATGATTATATAGAGTCGCGAAAACAATAGGTAAGTACACTATTTCCTTTATTCCACATGTATATATCTATCGATTTTAAACTGGCAATCGGGTAAGTTCGTTGCAATCACAAGTACCTAAATATTCAATAAACAGCTCTATATTACAGCTACGTTCCCGTCGTCGATTGAAATTCTAATATCGTATCTGTATGATCTCTTATGTCCTACTACTATGTGAGAAAGTTTATCAACTACTCACACTATTCTTTAAGCTGTGTGCATAGCACTGTCAAAGTTCGACGTTTGTCATTGAAATAATAGAGTACAAAGAAACGAGAGTACTCTTCGACATAATGTCGCAGGCGCTACACTTTTTTGTCGAGAGTTGTTCATTAATGAGCATCACTTCGATATTGGATATCTCGACAAACTTAGTTCAAGAAGTGAGCTTATCCTTGCGCACTTACGTCAGTTATTACTTAACGATCTTGATCGGTAAGTATGTTGATAGGTATTTGTCTGTTTGTTTGTTACTTATCGATTTTATTACTCATCGATTTTAATCGGTGAGTATGTTGATAGGTATCTGTCTGTCTGTCTATTAGATGCACGCGATATCTCACGAAAGCGAGATTGAATCTGCTCCAGATTTTGCATGTGCATTCATCAAATGTCGGACCAGAAGCCTATTTGGATGAATTATGTCGTATAATTAGCGAGTTAATAATTAATAAGTGATGGGACACAAGGTGTCACTATGGAGTAAGAGCGCTGTTTTGGGGGATCCCCTAACTTTCGATCGATAAGTCTTCGGTCTCTGACCGATATTCTCGTTTGCCTGTTAGACGTTTTCGTATGTTACGCAACATCTCACGAGAGCAAGGTTGAATCTGCTCCAAATTTTGCATGTGCATTCATCATATCTCGGACCAGAAGCCTATTGATTTTGAATTATGTAGTTTAAATGGCGAGTTATCAATTAATTAATGACGGGACACGCGGTGTCGCTGTTGAGTCAGATCGAAGGATATACGCCTCTAGATCGATAAGTCGGCGGTTTCTGATCATGCAAAAGTCCTCAGTAAATTTTGAAAATCGAGATTCAAGTGACCGAATAGGAACTTCAACTATAATCTTCTTGATGAGTCTAATATATTTACCAGCTTATTGATATCATGCACACCATGGCTTATTATTTACTGATAAATTGTTCTATCAGAATAACTTCACGCTCTGCTATCTATACAGATCATATATGGACAAATATTTACAATGAAAAATAAACAGTGTTGTTTTGGTGGAATGTATTTCTGATCATCTGCCAATTGTCCTGTGTCCTCCCCAAGAAAAGCAAATTGAAAATAGGATTGAAACACTTTACCGCTAGTTTAGTCCATCCAACTTAAATAATTTGGTGAATAAATTGAAGTCTATTTATATTGAGCACCAAACAAGGGCTTATTTTATTTCTGGGCTTATTTTTTTTTGTATTTTTCATTGAAATAAAAAACGTTGCGTTCTGGCAGATGCACACGCTGCCGGAATAATAATTTCAAAAATGTAAGTAAAAATTTTGCTTTGTACTTACACCAAAGTCATAAGATTTTAACAGAAATGTTTATCCGAGATATCAGATAGCCGTTTTGAGCTCACGAGCCTACTACAATCCAAAAGCAATTCGATCAAGGCAGCCTTCGACAAAAGAAGTGTGTTGTGATAATGAAGAATATGCCTAGGTCGGCGGCAACCTGCGGATTTAATTAGGCGATAAGACAACCTAGCCTAGATATTATGCATTGGCGGCGCGTGGTCATTTTGACAACCGGGGCAAGCTACTGCGGGACCAAGTCACCCCCATCTACGGGGACAGGATGAGCGTTGTAAGTTCTCCCATCATTTTATGAGTATAAAAACCATTCCATCGGTAACAACCAATCGGCAAAAGCGACAATTTTTAACGATAAGAAAGTGTCTTTAAAACCGGTCCAAGTCAAGGGATTAATAAATATAGACATATTTTATTTTGAAACCTCTTTCAAAAGGAAAGGCAATATTTACCCAGATAAATACAATGACATATTAACAGAAACTTCGGGAAAGCAGACAAAACCTAAAATAAGGTTTAAAACGTTACTATGAGGAAAGGAAAGGTAATGCAAAGATAAGGACATGCGTCGCTCACTCATAGATATATATGCTGCTAGACTTCTACTGCTTGAACATATATGCAACACGCCGCGGTTTCTTGGAAGCAAAATGCTCAATAACGCGCTGATTAAAGTCATGCATCCCAGAAATAACGTCTCTGTGAATGGATAAAACAGCCAAGGAATTTAATCTATCTTGCTTCATTGTGTTTCTGAGATACGTTTTAATACGCTTCAGCGTGCTGAATGTTCGCTCCGCGTCGGCGGAAGAAATAGGCGTCGTCAAAATGATGTCCAAAAATTTTGCAGACGCCGCAAAGATAGTTACTAGAGTGTAATCTATGAGGAACCCATAGAGCGCGCAAGTTGACGTGATGTTCAAAAAAGTTTGATTGGTGTATATACATTGCAATTCATTTTCCAATTTACCCACGTTTATCATGGGGTAAAATTTGGAGACAGTAGCCAACAAATGGATGGGAAATTGACGTGCAAATTTTGAAAAAATTTTGGGGTTCATCAAAGAGAACGCGGCAAGGTGTTCAGTGCGCAGACAATCGCCTATTTGATTCACCAGAATGTCACAGCATTCCTTTGCAGACAAAATCAAACGCTGCGTTGTTTGCCCGCGGCGTGAAGAAGCACTCCATGTGTCGTCGTATTTTATTGTTTCCCGGATACGAGATACAGCATCGCAGAAGTCTGAAATACACGACTGCACAGACGCTCCATCCATTAGCCTTGACTGCAATGCGCCGTATAATACATCCACGTGATAGAATATTGTGGAGAAAAAAGCGAGAAAAAATGAAAACTCACCATCTTCTAGCAGACGCTTTAGACCTGCCGCCTCCCTCACAGAGCGTTCGTCCCAAACCGGAGAGCTCTGAATGCCATTGAAACACTCAATGAGCTCAGACCTAATTTCGGACACGCCCTGCACCACGCGTGATTGGAAGTTCCAACGTGTTGGTGCACAAGCTGGGAGACGGCGGCTACATATATGGCGAAGGAGGTCAGAGCGCTTCGGCGAAACGAAAAAAAATGAAGATAACCCCGAAGCATTTGCAAAAAATATACGGACGAGAGGGGTATCAAGACACATATTTTTAATAACGAGGTTAAATTGGTGTGCATAACAATGTAAAAAATGCGCATGAGGAAAATCTTCTTTTATATAAACTTGAACACCATGTTTCGACCCACTCATGACTGCCGCGCCGTCATAAGTTTGAGCTATCAATTTTGACTTCGCGTTGTAAGGCTGTAACACTTCTTTCAGTACAGCCGATATCCCGCAAGCCGTGCGATCAACGATTGGTACAAAGCTGTGAAATCTCTCGGTAGGTTTACCATCTTTCACAAACCGAAAAATCACAGCCAGTTGGGAAACGCACCTGATGTTAGTTGTCTCGTCAGACTGAATCGAAAGGAACTGGCAATTCTCAATTTCCAGAGCCAAATGTTGTAAATAAATTTTATACATTGAGTCGAGCAAATCATTTTGGATATCCTTAGATGTCCCTTTCGAAACAGTTGCGGCATCTAGATGATCTCTCAATACTGTATCTAGGGATGCGGTGTATTCCACCATATCCAAAAATACCCCTCTATTAGAAGAGCCAGCCCGTTTATCGTGCCCACGGAGGGACAGCTCGTGACAACCAATGAACTTCAAAACATCTATCAATCGACCGAGAACATGGCGGTTTTTCTCGACGTTTTGGTTGTGCCGACGAATAGAAACCGCGCGTCATAGAAGATTGATGATCCCTGGCACGCTCGGAAAGATGTTTAAGATCTCTAAAACCAAATTTACACCAACGTGAGTCACGGGCGGTAGCAAAAAGTAGGCAATAAAAACAAAAAAGTGCATTTTTGTCCTCGCTGTAACACAACCATTCGTGTTTTTTATACCAAGTTTCT